TCAGCGACTGAAATAGCCGAAGTGACAGCTCGCAGACGGTTAGCAGCTCCCACCTGTCACTCAAAGCAGCAGCCACTGCCCCGGAAATCTTTAACTTTAAGCCAATTTTTTAATTGACATGTTTGAATTATATTAGAGTTAATCCCTGTGGAGTTGCATAAATACAGAAATTAGCCATGTAGGTTTTTGCACCAGGCTGCAGACGTGTTTAATTCTGCTCTAAAGTTGGTCGTTTTAATATGGGGCCTAATGGAGATTTACTCACTTTTGGAGCCAGCCTCAAGTGACCACTAGAGGAACTGCAGGTTTTCTCAGCCCCAGTGGTTGCCGCTTGGTGTCCCTGCCAATCCTTTCTTCACAAACACACACAGACAGACACAATCTCTCACACACACACACACATACACCGCTGTGGGTCTATAAACAGGAAATCACCTGGCTGTGATCACGGTAGGGCAAATCAAAGCAGCGATCTCAAGGTCACCTGGTTTGAGGCGGCGTTCGACTTGCTCTGACATTTTCAAAGTTTATTATAAATGTATGAATATACTCTCTCTCTCTCTCTCACACACACACACACACACACGCACACATTCCTGTAGCACATTGCATGGTTGTTTTTTCCATGGGTGGTGGGAAGGTTTGTGTGGTTGGGTCACCTCTGAAGCTTTCATCTGCACCACCCTGTCCTTCATGTCGGAGCCTCAATTTGGAGAAATGTCAGTGAGCACAATGAGGCGGCAGGGCAGGGCGCTGTGTCACCGCCACGCAGACGGATACAAACACATCGGCAACACTCATCATCTCAAACCAGCTGAAACAAAGTCCGAAAGAGAGAGACAAAAATATCAACAGAGAGAGAGAGAGAGAGGGGAGAGAGAGGAGAGGAGCCAGCGTGTCAGATTGGGAAACACCTCAGCAGCATCTCAGTCACAACTGCTAGCCCTACTTGCCGCTGTTGCCATGGCAACGATGGGGACTGTCAGGCTTCCTGGAGGGAGGGATGGTCCAAAAAATCTGCAGCTGTCACTTACCTTCAGGAGAGAGAGAGAGAGAGCGAGCGAGAGAGAGCCAGAGTGAGTGAGAACCAGAGCGAGCGAGAAATAGAGACTTTGTGTGTGTCTGTGTGTGTGTGTGTGTGCGTGTGTGTGTGTGTGTGTGTGTGTGTGTGTGTGTGTGTGTGTGTGCGCGTGTGTGTGTGTGTGTGTGTGTGTGTGTGTGTGTGTGTGTGTGGGCCTGGCTGCCATGTAAGTTCACCTCACTTCACTACGCTTCACGGGGGAAGATGCTAAACAGGAAGGATGAGACACTTTGAACGAGCCAATGGGGAGATGAGATGGAAAACATTGCTGCAGTTTTATGTTCCAAAACAACTTAAAGCAGTTTAAGAGCCGCTTCCTTGGACAGGTTTATTTATAAAGCGCCTTAAAACACAAGGGGATGCAGCTCAGAGTGTTTCACACTTAGAGGAAATTAATTAGAGAGAAAGCCAACAACCTGAACAGCAGTTTTAAAAAAAAAAAGTAGAGACACCTTAAAGTTAAAAAACATGAAGAAAAAGAGCAAATTAGCAAAAATGATGAGGTGGTCAGAGTAGCTTGAAGTGTCAATTAATAATTATTTTGTCAGAGCGTCCAAACATGCAGAAATTATATTCTGAAGAAGTACTTTTGTCTTTTCTGTAGTTGTCTAACCCAAAGGCTTGTTTACTAAAATGCACAGCTGTGCCTGTTATCCGACCCAGTGATTGAGCTCAATGTCTGTACATCTACAGAGACACAGAGTTTCCATCACACCCTCCAAACCAAACCGATTGTTTTACAAAAATAACCATTCCTTCGCTCGAAGCTAACAAATCTGAGACACTTTGTTTCATTTCATAAACAGTTTGTTAAGACTAAGGCACCAAATTTATTCAGAATTTAGTTTGGGCTCAAATATTAGCCTACGTTAATGCTGACTTTGATTTGACCCCCAAAAAAGGGAGTTTCAACTGGGAAAAAATAACTTCTCCCAAGAACCAAATATTCCTTAAATTCATGAGATTTGTTGCAATTCACTTGTAAAATTGCATCCTGTTGAAACATTAATGTCAGAAATTAATGCATCAAGTTCTTTGAATCACAATAATCAGGAATAAACAGGAAGTGAAGAACCCCAAGCTTAAGAAATTAAAATAATACAAATTAAAAGAAAAACAACAATTAACTGTTTTGAAATGTAAAATATGCTTGATTTTCAAATATGCAGTTAAAAATGTGATTAACTATTGTTATTCAGCGGTTAATCGCATGTTCTTTAGTAAATTGACAATCCTACTAAATAGTGGTCTTGAAAAAGGTTTAAAACAATTACAGCAGCGTGCCGGTAGCCTAGTGGTTAGTGTGTGCAACCCATGTACAGAGTCCTAAAGTCCTCAAGAGGGGGTGACCCGGGTTCGAATCCAACCTGTGGCTCCCTTCCCTCAAGTCATAGCCCTCTCTCTCTCTCTCTCAGACTTTATCCACCTTCCAACAGAACTGGTTCACAGTTGGGGATAATAAGTCATAACACATAAGACCAGAAGAAGCTAAATTCCTCAGACTAACTGTGCGCAGAGCGGGGGCTTTAAAATGCAAGCACTTCCTCTACCAGGACCACTCAACAAAATCGTATTAGTCCTGGTGTGAAGGGGGTCAGATTGTCTTCTCCTTACTGTTGTGATCTGAACAGTGTATTGATTAAAAACACGCCGGACAATAGTGGATATTGATCACATTGTAATTGACTGTGCGCACAGAGACTTTCTGTTAGGGGGGGCCAAAGTGCTTCACATTGACTTCTTCATTGATGAACCAGTTCATTGACTTCCTTGGAGATCTCTGCCATCTGAGGCACATGAGCAACAAAAAGCAAGGTCATCCGTGAGGCCGCTGAGAACGCCTGCATTTAGATTTTAAAAGCCTGTTATTTTGGTGTCTTCTCTGATCACACCATCAGGTTGTAAGATGTGAGGGGGAGGTGTCACACATCGCTGAGGAGGCATTAATGGAAAATGAGCCAGTTGCACATCTTATATTTGATCATGGAGTTTTGGTCATGGACGTTAAAAACTCGCTTCTCTCTCACTCGCATCTCCAGTGGGGGAGCTGCAGGTGGATATCACGAGCCTAGAGAATTAAAACAAGCGATCCTCTAACCTTTACAGCTTGCCACAATCACTGCAAGAAAAAGCCAGCAACAATCTTTGCTCCAATGCTGGAGCTGCCAAAAATAAATCAAAACCTGAGCAAAGTAACGAGCAAGGTACACTGAGTACAGACACTTCACTAGCTAATAGCGCTAACATGCTAATAACATGATAGTAAAATTTCAATCACAGAAAAAAACTGCGCTCTGACTCTCTGGCCATGTTTACATAAATACAATCCACTGAAAAAGGGAAACGTATTTCGTTTGTGTTTTCATAAAAGTTTTTGCATTCAGACAATTTCAGCATGGATGCTAACTTCCATGTTTTGTACAGTATTGTTCGGATGCATCCTTTCAGGAGATGAATTGTATTTTAACACCCACAATGCTGTACGAAATTAAATGTAAAACGTCACTTCAGGTGCGCCTCCAAATCAAAACAGAGGGGGATGGAAAAAAAAGAGCTAGCCTCTAGTGGCCACTAGGGGAACTGCGCCTTGTGGCCCTTTTGGGTTGGCTTTACTTCTCAGCCCAGGAGGTTGCTGCTTGTGTTGAAAAGGTACTCACATAAGCCATATTGTGCAATATATGAAACCAATCTTAAAGGAAGAATGAGTGACTTTTTAAATATCCAATTGATAAAGTAAAACTAAATATAGTTTTGAAATTGAATTGTTTTCCATCCATACATGTCATCCATATTCAAAGTACATTTTAATTAGTTTTTAATGAGTTTAATCCATTTTGTACTGCTGTTGCTATAAAAGAATTATCATCGCATATGTCCTTTTATGATACTGATTTATTTTTCTGTTGTAGTTTGCAACCTGAGGGGAAAACTGCCATCAAACATGCGTAAAGAATCTGCATATATTTACACACTTTTTACATGACACAATTTGGAGACATCTTCAGATATCCTAAATATCCCTGCTGCTATTCTGTTACATAACACACGTTCAACCTAAATGTCAGTGACTATTCTGCCCCTGCAGCTGCTGCTATTTTCAGTCCATTGCCAATAATGTTCTGTATATTTAAATTCAATGTGGCGTCATAGTTCTTGGTAAAATGACCAATACCTTTGATTGTCGATTTTACATTTTCCCTGTTTTTATTGAGTCTCTGCTCTACTGAATAGACCATTTGTATTCACGGGTAAACTCAGATTAATCTCACATTAAATAACCTTCAGAATAATGCTTAGGAAAATGCAGAAATGCATGCTCAAAATATGCAAATTTGCCCAAATGCATGCTGAAACTAAATGGTGCATCACATTTTAAGATGCATGTCATCATTCCTACATTTATGCTATTTTTAGTATCCCTGCATTGGCATTAACCTTCCCTCTCCAAGTGGTCATTTTCTGTAGTTTTTCTCTGTGTGAAATGAGCACTTTACTTTGCTATAAAAATATATGAGGGGAAGAGATGCGGGAAAGACCAAATTGTTGCTATATTGGACCATCCACCGGTGCAGCTGGTCTATTTTTAGCTGGGAACTACATCAGCTCTCACTGCAGACACCGTGAGGGGAAATCACCAGTGCTGTTTGCTGCTGTCTTCTACCAACCAAAGCACCAAAGCACTGACATTTCACTGCTTCAAATTAAAGCAGGAGGAGGACACACGGGAGGGAATCACATTTACTGCACGTGTGTGTTCATGTGTGTGTGTGTGTGTGTGTGTGTGTGTATGTGTGTGTGTGTGTGTGTGTGAGAGAGAGAGAGAGAGAGAGAGAGAGAGAGCTGTGCCTCTCACAAAGTAAACAGAGCAAATAATATCATATTATTTTGGGTTTTTTGTGACAGTGCTGTTTGTCTAGCCTCGTGGTGTTTTGACAATCATCAAACGCACGCGTATTATTTGGTCCTGTTAGAGCGCAGGATCACCAGAAAGGCTGTCTGTGGCACCGCAGGTGGTCCGAGAGAGAGAGAGAGAGAGAGAGAGAGCGTGAGAGAGGGGGAGAGAGAGACAGAGAGAGACAGAGAGAGGCGTGCAGCACATTGGTCGGGCTACTTTTCTGACGACACACCAACAATCGTCAACCTGTGGATAGGGCGCGCGCGGCGCTCTGCTGTCTCCACTGCCACCCTCTCCCCTCTGACACCGAGCCCGACAATCCAGGACGCATGAACTGGGAGAGGGTGCCGGGTTCGATTCCCCACGGAAGGACAGGTGCCGAAAAGTTGAGGGGCTCGTGCGCCATCCCCGCTTCATGAATGGCCGGAACATGGAGGAGATGCCATTCGAAAGAGTCAAGACCCGGAGGAGAAAGGGTCGATGCCCGGCCGGTGCACCCCTGGGCGCCATCGCCTGCGAGGACGAGTTCAACAGCCACGAGCTGGAGGCTCTCTTCCAGAACTACAACCTGAAGCTGGAGCAGACCGCCACCCTCAAAGCGCTGGCGGTGCTCATCGTGGCTGCGTCGTCGCTGTCCCTGGTGGAGCTGCTGTCCAGCCCGCGTCTCACCTTGTCCAAGGGCTCGTACCCGGTGCACTGCGTGGTGTTCCTGTCGCTCTTCATCGTCACCAACGTCAAGTACTTGCAGGTGACGCAGCTGCAGCAGATCGCCAAGCTTGCGCTGCTGTTCAGCTTCACCTTTGCGCTGCTCTGCTGCCCGTTCCCGCTGGCGCTCGGCACGTCAGAGCTGGTGAGCGCCGGAGCCCCTGAGCAAGGCGTCTGGCAGCTAATGTTGGTCACCCTCGTGGCTTACGTGCTGCTACCGGTGCGGACGCTGCTGGCGGTGCTGTTCGGGGTGATGCTGGCTGCATCCCACTTCATTGTCATAGCGACGTCGGTCACGGGGAGGAAACAGAGGCTGTGGAGACCGGTAAGTGCTGCACCAAAAACCCTTGGCTAGTCCTACTGACAGTTTCCCCACAGTTATTCACTTACACCCCCATCGTTTCAAACAGGTCATGAGGTCAAGTCCCCATTCCCGTTAAAAATGACACCCCCGAGTAACCGCTCCGGGTTAGGAGACTGCTGTTTAACCTGAAAGCTCCCAGCTGGGCTCTGGAGTGTCTGTATGAATGTAAAGTGGAGCAGAGAAACAGGACTCTTACTCATCCGACTTTCCCTGAAGAAGTCAGAGTCAGAACACCCTCAGTGATCGATTTTGGCTGCAGGATCCTGAAGTTGTAAAATTGGAAACGAGCAGAAAGTTTCCCTTTCGCGCGCCACGGTAACGAGGCAGACGGGGAGCTGTCCAGCAGCAGCCGGTGCTGAAACTGGATCCTGCTGACACACACACACACACACACACAATTTAGTGCTGATTCCTGCTGGCTAATTATAGAATCAGGATGTTTCCTTCTCATTTACAACGTGTCAGATATTATGTCTCAGGTATTTCATGTCCTATAAGACAGGGGTCCTCAATCTTTTGGAGCTGAGAGCCCCTTAAATCAGGCTATAGTTCAGACCCCTCTTGGAGAAACAGGTATCAGTGGGTGCTTGGCAGTTCAACTAATGGCCAGGCAGGACAGAGCAACTCGATTTGAATTGCATGTTTCAAAAATTGGCAATTTAAAAACCTGTACATCAAGAGGGAAATGCAGTAAACCTAAAAAGTGAGGATAAAAAGCATTCATTGCAGATAAAATAAATGATTGTTTAATATTAGAGCAGATTACAGTGCAGAAACAAGATGTAACTTTCCCAAAGTCGTATTAAAGAAATCAAAGTGAGCAGGTGAAACAATCAATCGACTTTAAGGCAATGATTTCACCTCAAATTGATTTTTAAGTAGCTTCAGATGAATGAGATCCACGAGCTAAAAATAAGGATTGGAAAAGAATAAATGGGATTTGGTGCAATAGAAAGATATTTCATCTGCTTTTCCACCCTGAGGTCATTGCCCTCTCAGATTTATCTTGACCGGATAAGAAACAAAACGTCCCGGTGATTCAGGGAAGTTTCACAGACTTCAGTGGAAGTGATGTGTCTAATGCATTTACATGATGCAATAAATCAGAGCTTATTATAACTCTCTTGGCTTTTCCCTCTTTGAAATGAAGTGATGCCAACATGCAACTCATCATCGCAGGATGAAACCAGTGATATGTTTTTAACTTTAAAGGCCTGAGGAAGAATAATGTGCTGAAGTTATGCACTGAAACATGTCGGAGATTAGAGAAGAGTCTGGAAACATACACACATTGTTGTGCAGCAGAGAGAGGTTTATTTTGCAGCTTTGTGGAGAACCTCATGTTGCAGATTTTTTTTTGCTTCTTTTGGTTTTGCTCGTTCGTTACATAATGAACTGTAGTGAAGTCTTATTCATGAGTTGATGGTTACACAGAGAAAAGCGCCATCCATCTGGCTGTGCTGGGATCAGAGAGTTACTTTGACCTTTCACCACCTCTTTCAGGAATCGACGACACAAAGTGGCCACAGAGTTCATCATAGAAATGAAGTGTTGGACAGGATCAATAGCTCTGATCATTAACCAGTCTTGCATCCTTTCCACTGTGAAGCTTTTTGTGTTTTAAGTCACACCTAAGACTCGTGTTGTAATCAATGTGCTGACCTCGATGTCTGCCGTTCAATCCGTGCTGTGGATTAATCACGGATTGTGGAGTCTAATCTCAGGATGTATGACTGCACACGTAAGTGCACATACGGCCACAAGTGTTCCTCCAGGCCCCACATGCACGATCAGTATGTAGCCTCTGCTGCTTTGTTTGACATGTCTGTTCTTGTTTGTGTACAGCTGGTGGCCAACGCCGTGCTGTTCACCAGCGTCAACTTGTCGGGGGTGTTTGTGAGGATTCTCACCGAACGCACCCAGAGGAAAGTCTTCCTGCAGGCCCGGAACTGCATCGAGGAGAGGCTGAAGCTGGAGGACGAGAACGAGAAACAGGTGGGGCAGGAATTTATGCAAACACACACACACACACACACACACACACACACACACACACACACACACACACACATTTTATGCAAAGATGCAGCCTGGTGTGCTTGACAAAACAATATCAGATAATAGAAAGAGCAATAGAAAGCGTTATCAATCATATGGTAAGTTTGAACCAATTTAAAAACCATCTTTAAAAGGTCCTTCATTTCTTTCTCCAACATGAAAGAAAAGGGTCAATAAATCATTATTTGTAGAGTGCCAATTCATAACAAGTGTTTTCTGGAGACGCTTTACAAAAGAGCATATGGGATAATGTGCAGGAAGGATTTCTCCTTTGTGTTCCTCATGTTCCTGTTGTCCTCACTTCCTTGCCGCTGAGGTGGAGGTCAGAGCAGGCCGTGCATTAATGAGGCATTCAGTTTGACTCTCTGAATTCCCCCCCATTTAAAAAAAGACATAACACATGAAAGTAGCTACAGTATGTGATAAAATGATCATCTTTTGATACTCAAACATGACGCTTTTCAGATGTTTTCATTCAGTTTGATACTCTTGAATAAATTAGCTTTACAAGTTAAGTTAAGATTGTTGGAAGGCCGAGTTTGGCCCTCAGGCAGCAGATAGAAAATATATATTTTTAATGCAATAGAAATTGCAAGCTGCCCCACCAGATTTCTTTAGGGAGACTCAAGAAACGTCTAAATGTATGCACTGTAGGATCTCTGAATTTGAGGTGGGATATAAGATTGGAAACCAGTCAGCTTCTGTATGTGAGGAGATGTTGCTAAATTATGTAAGGCCCAGTAGAGCAACAGGACTGTTAAATCAATTCTAAAAGATACAGGCAGCCTGTGCAGTGTTGAGAGCAAAGAGGTGATCTGATATTCTGTCCTTGTGTTTGTTAAAATCCTGCCTGCAGCAGTTGAATGAACTTATTTTTTATGGTGAGAGAACAAGTGGCAACCTCCGGTCTTGAAAAATGAAGCCAATGCGGAAGTGCAAAATCCTGCAGTTCGTCGAGTGTCCACTAGAGGCTGGCTGCAGGAACACAGGAAGTCACATACACACCGCATGCAAAATGCTGTTTTTACAGCAGAAATGAACATGTTTACAGCCTGGTAAAAAAAAAAAAATAGGTCTGATTAGTTATTGACATCACTGGCATACACTGAACGGGGGGTTAATTATTATTATTTTTTTATTAAAACAGAGCCGTTTTGAAATAGTGACACACATAGCTGACATGATTGACAGGTGGGTGCGATGTAACGGTTCGTCTAGAGGTTTAAAACCCACCTCAGCTCCAGCTCTCAGCCTGTCGTTAGGTTGACTGAAAGTTAGTCTGAGACAGCATTTCCAACATGGCGGCTGCTGCTGCTGATGAGCCTCTGGAGCCCCCTGCAGGATCAGATGGCTGACGTCGCTCAGGTTTACAGTCTGTGGGCGAGAAATGTAAAAAGAGAGGTGAAAAGATCTAAGCGTGCAGTACAGTACGGTAATTAGAGTGTGTTGCCTCATTGTTGGTTAAAAAAAGGGCAAATTTAGATGATAAATTAGGAATAAAGACATGCATCCACGCTTTTCACCTCGCCTTGAGCGCGTATGTTTGTGAAATCTTCCCAGTCTCTGCTGAAGTTTTTTTTTTTTTTTTTTTTTTTTTTTACGGTTTCAGGTGCCAATGTATTCTCACAACCTGCCCACAGGCACGCAGTAACTATGACAGCAGCTATTTAAGGAAAGAACAATTACTGTGGCACATGCACCGGCGCCACCGCACACTCCTCCCCCTCCCTGCACACCTACACGTAACCATTTAACAAAGGAGCAATCAGGCAACTTTCACACACAGAAACACTTTGTTGTACGCCGCACCCTCCTCGCCAATGTGCATGAAACCCACCTACACCGCTTGTTAAATAAAGAATTAATTACCCCGTGTATGTAATAGGACTCTATGTGAACGTCTCCGCTTCGTTCTGCAGCACGCTCGCCAGCACACACGCACACTTTTAGCACCTGTGCTTTGTAGATTAGATGACGATACGCTGTGTTTTCCCCGGCAGTAACAGGCTCCCTTCTGACAGGTAATTACACAAGCAGATTGCTTTCATGGCCTCCATACTCCACTAAAGGTCACAGTTTATCTGGGTGAGTGAAACACACACAGACCCCTGATTGGGATCCATCAACAGGCAGCCAACAGCCTGCAAACACAAGGAGCTCACAAGCAAAAAAAAGAAAAATCAAAACAAGAAACGCCTGAGATTACATTTTTAGACATCAAGCAGGTCTCTGGTTATCGCCCGGATGTTTTCTCGGGCTTTGCTTTGGGCCTGATCCATATAGGTTGTATTGATTCCTGAACATGTGTGGGCTATGTGCTGCACGTCTGCCTGGCAAATTGACTTCTCAGCTCAATAGTAATCTAAGACACCAGGAGCAACGGGTAGTTTCCTGTGGACTCGTGTGAGGAGACACCATACATGGTCAAAACACAGGAAAAGATAACCCTTGATTCAATTCAGATATTTAAAACCTGCATGATGAAACAAGTCGGCCAGTTTGACTGCAACAGGACAATTCTTAAGACTGCCCTGCACTTCATTAACCTTCAGGGTCGTACCATTCAGTCTTCATTTGCAAAGAGGCTTTTTTAATTTCATGGAGAGAGATCTGTTGACACGGAGGCAGTAAACACCAAAATTAATTCCTGAAACAAAGTTAATGTTGGGGCTAAAGAATAGGGTGTCGATACACATTGATTGACATGTATTGGGAGTATTTCTAGTACTGGTATCGTAACAGCTCTGGCTCCTTCCACGACTTTAAGCAGCCGTCAAGCATGACTTCAAGTGATCCAACTCCACCTACTAATAAATGTTGGAAGCTGAACTTTACATTTGATTTCTTAGTTAAAATTGTATTTTCCAAAAAGGCACGAACGACTATAGATATGAACATTATCTGACCTGATTGCGCTACGTTTAAAGGAAGAATGTGCAACTTTTTGATCCAGTAGATGTCGCCCTTGAGCACCAGCATGAAACCAAAACAAACATCTGTTTAGCAACACCTCAGCAATACTGAAGACTCCACTCTCTGGGTTTTCAGGAAGGATTTATCAAATGAAACACATCACAATTAAGCTCATCGTCCAGATCACCAAACGCCCTCAGCCTCAGCAGTTTTTCGCTGCTGCGTTCAAAGCGCTCTCAGTTGAAAACAGTTCAACTTTTGAATTATCGCCCAGCTCATCAATGTCACTTCTCTGTCACCAACAAATCAAAATCAAGAAGATGCAGAACTTCTGATATCAGTTTTTTCAACAAAAATAGCAGAGGTATTCATATTTACAGTCTATGATGGAAATGTATTCTTAATTTGCTAATTTAGCAATCTCCCTCTATCCCACTTTCTTGGCCGTGGCAGAGTCTGGCTCTGCTTGAGGTTTCTGCCTCTTATAAGGACATTTCTCTTGCCTCTGCTGTATAATGTTGACCGGTGGATTGATGTTTAGTCTCTACATCAAAGAGTACAGTGTAGACCTGCTCTATTTGTAAAGTGTCCTGAGATAACCTTTGTTTTAATTTATCATGTCTCTGGTTTTAAACATAATTGAAAACCAATAATTTAATCCCAAAGCAGGAACAAGGATTCTAATTTGCAGGAGATTGTACACATGCTATAAAAACATGCTTGTGCATATTATATTCCATATTATATTCCATTTCTGCTTATAGATACACACTTTACCTTGAAGTGATATATTATACTTTTTTCCTGACATTTCTTTTCCACTTAAAAAACAAAAAAGAAGTTGGACTGCTTCAAAGTACAATTCTTATTTTTCAAAATGCAAAGATTTTCTGGGAATTTCCCCTTCTTGTTTTTCTGCAGGGCAGTGTTTTATATGTTAATGTGAGGGGAAGCGAGCCAGAGGTTCATTAATAAAGCACCACGAGGAGAGCCGTTGTCAAACAGAGCACACACCGTGAATTAAGCCGGGGATAGATTTGAGAAATGGGAACCACTGATGTGCGATTAAAACATGTTCAAGGAGGAGGAAGGGAAGAGATTAATAAAGCAGAGGATTTAAATATTCAAATGAAGCACCTTCACACTTTCACTTACACCTGACATACATGTGCATCGCTGGAAACGCTGACACAGAAGCACATATGGACAAATACCCTGACTCACACTCTCACATCTCAAAGTGTGAAGGCTGTTTGTGAAAGCTGCTCTCCTGTTTGTATTGGCAGGTGAGGAGCAGCCATGTGAGTGGATGTGTGATGTGAAACAGTGATGGAGAGAGACACAGGAGAGCCCCCTGAGCTGCTTTTATACCATGGCCTCTTAGCGTCCATTCAGCAGAGCCGCGGCGCCGCCGGATGATTCACTGTGCATTCACAACCATTTGACATCATGATACAGAAGTGCTTAATGCTGCTGTAACTGAGATGATTCACACAAACAAACATACTGATGCTGATGCTACTTCAGGCTGCAGCTGAAGAGATTATCAGATTAATCCCAATGACTGGAAATGAAATGACAACTATTAACTCTTTAGGTCTTACATCCTAGCCTCTACAAAGTGAGGATTCAGCCCAGAGTGTAAGGATGTAAAGTCTGCAAACAGATATCTGGACATTAATGTGATATCTGCAGGCGCAGGACAAGACTTTTGGTATTTGTTGCATGCAGAAAAACAGTATTTTTAGAGAAAACAGATGTGCAATGGATTGGCAGAAATGCAACACCAGAAGATCTCACATTAAAAACACTTTCACCTTTCATGGTGTCAGTCTGTGAAACCCATCAACTAGTTTTCATGATTTTTTACAGCTAAAAAAACTCCTTATTCATCTCATACTGGTGTCAGTAAAAACCTTCATTTTGTCCTTATATCATCAGAGATTAAGGAAACATGCTATGTTGAAGTGCTGGCTTCTCTGACAACAATGCAGCAGCCAGTATGTCCTCCTTCTAACTTTAGATTCTGCTCCTGAATGCTCTGGATTTGTTTGGACCAGAGAAGGTAGGCAGTTTTAAGTCACCCCCCACACGGCCGTTTTGGACACCCCTCGGTTTGCCAGATATGAGAGCAGTTATCAGGTCAAACCAACAGGTGTTGCAGAGATGGAAGCGGGCAAGAGAACTGGTTCAGATAGAAGTGATTGTACCTGACATAAAAGGTCTCTGCATGGTAGAGAAAGCAACATATTAAAAAGGGGAGCAGAACGACGATAGGCTGAAAATGAGGAAGAAACGCCATGCGATTGGTAAGATGAGTACCGCTGACAAGATAGCTGATTATCCAATGACAGCCCCAGAAAATGACAGCGGAAACATGAGTGAACGTGCAAAAAGGGATGAATGAGAGACCCAATCATGAAGGCAGTTATAAAGTCTTCCTGACTGAACTTACGCTGAGATTTATCTTGATTTTCTATCACTGTTTGCTAACTCCTGCATGAATACACACCTACAGTGTACATTTATATCCATGTAACTACTTGTCTCTAACTCTCCTCTTTTGTTCTAAACCCCTCCCTCCTCAGGAGCGTCTGCTAATGAGCCTTCTGCCCAGGAATGTTGCCATGGAGATGAAGGAGGACTTCCTGAAGCCTCCTGAGCGGATCTTTCACAAGATCTACATCCAACGTCATGACAATGTCAGGTATGGGGGTGTCATGACAACAGTGGACGGGGGGAAATGGTGGAGGTGTGCGGAGGGGCTGCAGTGTTTTGATCCAGGTGTCACCTGCTGTGACGTCAGGGTCAAGAAAAGAAGGAGAGCGCTTTAGATTTGCCATTAACGTGGACGCAATCGAGCTAGGAAAGGTCAGAAAGAGACAAAAGGCGCGCTACACTAGGCAGATTCCTCTTCCTCATCTACCGTTTGTGCTGCTGTCGTTTTAGAAACAGACCTTTGAATATGCATGAGAAATGTTTAAACGAAGCCCTGACCGTCTTGTTAATTGTCAAACACTCCAGCAAGGTATATAGCTTTATAAGCAGGGAGGGTATGTGGATGTATAATTAGTTACACTTCATTATTTAACTTTTATTTCAAAGAGTTTTAAATAATTGACTTTTAATCCGAGGTGTAATTAAAAAAAGTAGCTTTCTCCAAACTGCAGTTTTCACCAAAAAAAAGTATACCAGTGGGAACAAAATATCTAAATTAATCAAGAGTACTTACCAACAGTTATGAAAGCCAGAGAAATCCTTAATTTTAGAGTTCTAGCATTCATGAATTATATACAGGAAGATGCATTTTAAATATTTAGGGAACAACATATATTTGCTGATTTATTTTGGGGCTTTTATGCCTCTAATTGAGACAGGACAGTGGAAAGTTAAAGAAATAGAGGAGAGAGAGAGTGTGAGGAATGACATTGAATGAGAAAGGACCCACTGGTCGGACATGAACCCGGGCGCCTGGAGGGCAGCTGTCTGTACATGGAGCACGCACACCAACCACTAGGTCATCAGTGCCATGAAGGAGCTTATTTTTTACATTTAAGCTTGAAAATCACCAAAAAGATTAATCCATACATTATCTTCATCGCTTTTCCCGTTTGGGGTTACGACGGGGCTGCTGCCGATCCCGGCTGTCATTGGGCGAGAGGCGGGGTTACACCCTGGACTGTTCACCAGTCAATCACAGGGCTGAAATGCAGAGACAGACAAGCACACTCACACTTACACCTATCTCACAATTAACCTTTGGACTGTGGGAGGAAGCCAGCGTACCCAGAGAGAACCCACGCATGCACGGGGAGAACATGCAAGAATTGTGCAGCCTCAAAATGATTAATCAGTTATTAAAATATTGAATGTTAATATCCTTTTTTAAATCAACTGACTTTGTTGCAGCTTTAATGTCATTGCAAAGACCCGCCATCAAAATGCATTTTGAGGACATTACCTTTTGTTCTGGGAACTGAACAAAAGTTCCCAGAACAACTTTTGAGGTTGAGGTGCGTTTTTTATTTTACATCCATCATTGTTTGCAGCCGTATCCTCGTGCATGCCTATCAGCCTTTTCAGCAGCCACCTCTGTTGCCCTCGTAATGGAGAAAATATTACAGAGCGTGAGAACCTAGCCTGACTTTGAGCTGATTACATTCCAACGAGGCAGTAAAGAGAAGCTGAGAGAGGTATCAGTGCTGCCGAGTGTGGGAGTGTAGGGCTAGGTAGCATGTCAACAGCACTCCTGTCAAGAGACAATCCTCTCCACTCTCTGCCTCTCCCTCTTTTCTCCCCTCCTCTCTCTCTCTCTCTCTCTCTCTGTGTCTGTCTGTCTGTCTGCTCGGCTCCCACGCTCAGCAACAGTGCGGGAACATCACCGCCTGTTCTCCAGCCTTGCAGCCGCTCTGGCACTCGGCCAAACATCAAGCTGATGAACACAGCGAGCCAGCTCCCGCTCGTCTCCAGGGAGCTGCTGCAAACACACACACCTTAACACATGGCGGTGATTTAAAAAACAAAAACAAAAACAAAAAAAAAACACATCAGCTTTATTTTGCAGAGCAGGGGCGTGACATCTCCCTGATCCGGCCTCCCTTTGATGTGGCCCGAGAACGTTTGATCACATACCTATTTAGCTCCACTCTCGCTCTGCTCTCCCTCTGCCCCCCACCATATTACTCCCCCTCTGCCCTCCTTTGCCTCCCCCTCATTGCCCACCTAACACACCAGCACGACATGCAGCACAGCTTCATTCAAAGCCACTCAACGGAGCTCTCCTGTGGAGCAGCAGTCGTGATCCCGGCTTTACATACATCAGGATCCTGAGCTGCTCTGCTGCCAAAAAGTACACAGTCACGATGCAGAGGTTTGTTTGTAACGCTGCATCGCTCCAGGAGTGGAGTTTCCTGTGTTAAGATAAAGTTTTGGGCACCATGGAAACAAAGATTATGGAGAAGCTGCACGTGGCTATAGTCGGTCGAGTCTGAACCTGAAGGTCGAGGGTTCGATCCCCAGCTCCTGCAGACACATGACGTGTCCTTGGGCAAGACACTTAACCCATAAATTGCTCTCGCTGCTTCGACGGTGGTGTATGAACGTGATGGGTTAGTTACTTCTGATGGTCACTTAGCAACCTGTGCCATCAGCGTGTGAATGTGTAGATGTACAAGCTCAAGTTGATTTATACCATTTACTGTTATTTATTTGCATGTTTATTTACCAACTGTATGTGATTAGGAAAGTGCACCATTTATGAACAAATCATCATTATGCATTTATATAGATGTGACAGAACGAGTTCAATAGCTCAGATTATCTTGTAGTCCTAAAGCAAATGAAACAAAATACCTCTGAGGGAAGTCTACAAGACAGCACACAGAAAAACACACCGACAATTTTACATTTAAAATGACACTTTTTTTTCTTCCAGCTCTCAGCCTGTCGTTAGGTTGACTGAAAGTTAGGCTGAGAGCATTTCCAGCATGGAGACCGCCATCGATTGGGACTCCAGAACCCCTTGCAGGAACAGACGTGTCCATTTAGATTTACAGTATATGCACTAGATGCATTTTCCAAAACTAATAAAAATATGAGTTTAAAGATTTCTCTATTTCCCACCTGCTGACAGAAGCGTTAGGAAATGCACAAATAAGTTGCTTAGGGCGACAACACACCAAGTAAACAGTCTGGACTTGTATCGACGGTTTGTGCGTTTCATGGGTTCTTCTTGGAAATGTCTCTGAGTTATTTATCAAAAAGTTGTTGTTTTGGTGTCTGTACTGAACCTCATACAGACACAAGAACAAAACGGTTTAAATGATACTCCGCCCACAGCTCTCACTCCGCTGCCTTTACTCCTCCGGGAGCAGTGATTTACTTTTTATTTTTCTTTGGACTGAGAGTCAATAAGATCCATAACACCTTGTTTGTTGCCATCTGGCCTGCCTCTGAGCAAATGAATGAGGAGCTAAGTAGCTTTCAACACCTTCCTCATCCCCGCTAAAGCATCCAGCCAACAGCGGGGCCATTTAGCGCTGCAATTGATTTAGTGGTGGGGCTGAGAGACGCCTCCACTCACGGATGGGATTATGGCGCTCACTTTTTATCGCCATTTCCCAATTTCTCTGCTGTGGTGTGATCTGGGGGTATTCTGTGTCGAATGGGGATTAAAAAAATGCTGTGCAGCTCACAAGACCGCCCTGTCTTATGTGTTTTTAGTGTATTGAACACTGCAGAGGGTTTGACTCGGTTGGTAGAGTCGGTCCCCCCCCTCCTCCTCCTCCTCCTCCTCCCCCTCCTTAACTTGGCTACACTTAACCCAGAATTGCTCCTGCTGCTTCGTCTGCGGCATATGTATGAATGGGATAAGTAACCTCTGATGGTCCTCTACCATCAGTGTGTGAATGTGTAGGTGTGACCTGTGGTTTAAAAAGTGCTTTGAGTAGTCAGAAGACTAGAAAAGTCAATTCATATCATTTACAGATAAATGTTTTCTCTCTCTCTCTCGCTCTCTCTCTCTCTCTCTCTCTGTTCTTGCAGCATCCTGTTTGCAGACATTGTGGGTTTCACCAGCCTGGCCTCTCAGTGCACCGCTCAGGAACTGGTCAAACTGCTCAATGAACTTTTCGGGAAGTTTGATGAGCTGGCGACAGTAAGTACCCTCAAACACACACACCCACACACACACACACTCTGCTGGCCCTCAGTTCATAGTGATAATGAATAAATGATGTGTGTCAAAATCTCATCTGGCGTCCATCGACAGCATAGAAGAACATTTGAGGGATCTCACATCTTTCACATATTTTTTGCAGCTGGTTTAAAAGAATCGCGTAGCTATCATCTCACCATGCACTCTAGACTGTACACACTTTATTCTCTGTGGTATCAAACTTTAAAACTGAACTCTTTCATCAATTGTTATCTGTCTGTAAATTAAGGCAACTCATTGCAACTATTTAACCTTAAATGAACAACTTTTGAGACACTTATGTTTAATTTACTACTAAAACAAACTACTGTTTGGTGACACCTCTGCTATTCTGAAGCCTCTGCTCTGATCCAGAGACACACCTCCAATCCCTCTCTACTCGCGTTCACACGAAGGAGCTAACAATTAGAACGCACCATAATTAAGCACCATCAAGTGCAAGCGGAGGACAAAATTGTCCTTTGGCTGCAAAATATGTTGACTATGAAATAAATGCAAGATACTTGTGCCCTAATGAAAGGGTGAGTGCTCGGTGAAGAGACCCCTAAACCCATTATTCCCTTAGGCCCTACTGATGAATTACCTACTACATGGCCCTTAGCTGCCACTGCAACCAAAGCAGCATTTCCACAGTCAACAGACCCAGGCTCTGCACATGCAAGCTCCAGGTAGTGACAACGCAGGTACTATCTACCCTACCACATGGACCCTCACAACCCCCTGACCCAAAAATATAAACCAATGGTCCAATTAGTCCCAAGGCACCTCAAGAAGGCTGGACAGTAAGCTCCAGAAACCCAAGCCAACCCCAACCCCCACCCCTTCCCCTCCCCCTCCATGCTTTTGTAGCTCTCACTGCCTGCAGATTTAAAAAAAAAAAAAAAGAGGCAGGTATGCTAACAGTGCCAAGACAAAAGAAAAAAAGTTAACTTGCAGCCCGTAAAAAAAAAAGGAAAATGACAGATGTTCTCTGGAGCTCCCCAGTCTCCTACACAAAAAAAACAAATATATTATTTAGCTGTGGAGCTCATTTAATATGCCGAGCCACGTATTGATCCGACAATGAAAGTTAAGCTGCAGAGGCTGACTGAAGAGGAGGAAGGGGAAGAGGAGGAAGAGGAGGAGGAGGAGGAGGAGTAAGAGGAGGAGGAGGAAGATGGAGGAAGAGGAAGAGGAAGAGGAAGAGGAAGAGGAAGGAAGAGGAAGAGGAGGAGGAGGAGGAGTGGATGAAGGTCAACAAGGAGAAGGAACTTGAAGGGTGAGAGAGGAAGAGATGAATAAACTGATTTTTAGACAGAGGGGAGATAAGGGCTGAGGAGGTGGAGAGAGAGAGAGAGAGAGAGTGTGTGTGTGTGTGTGTGTGTGTGTGTGTGTGTGTGTGTGTGTGTCATCTCACTGGGACTAAACTGCACTTGATAAAGCGGCAAAGTGAGTGAGATAGCGTTCACTGTCCGTCAGTATAAGCCCTTATAGCGTTGTTCTCAGGGAAAGAAGATTAGGTGAGTGACAGGTTATCTGCCGCTAGACTCCTATAACCATAATAATACTGCAACAGATACACACACACACACACACACACACACACACACACACACACACACACACCACACACACACACACACAAACGCACAGATGTTTGCTTACACTTTTAATCTCTGTACTTATGTCATCTACATAGAACATCGGGCTGGATACCACCATACACTCAAACATACAGAGTTAAATAACACACTTGATGCATCTGTTAGGAATACTCGCTGACAAAAATCCTTTTCACTAAGTATTCAAGAAGGAGCTTTGCAGCTTTTCTACACATCTCTCCATTCTTCCTCATCCAAATCCAGGTGAAAAGACAGAGGGAGTGCTTAATGCTGTACTGATTTGAAGCACCTTGGGTCAAAGTTGTGACCTTTTGCACCGTCTAGAAATGTACATAAATAAACGTAGTGTTTAGAGCAGATTAATAAGACCAATATAAGCGCTTAATTTTAGGTGGCCTTATTGACAGAGCACTAAAGGTGACTTAGCATAAAAGAAAAGTCAAGAGGTCTGACTGGATGGATTGGTCTAACACAAGACCTGCACAAGATAATCACTGCTGATGCCCTGTATATAAACCAGTCAATGTATTCAGATATATAATGTACAAACATTTACTTTAACTAGGGGGGCTAAGGGGGAAGTTAATGCATTGATTTTTAAAACCACATTAACCGTGTGCAGGTCCACCATGACTTCAGCAGCGTCTCCTTGTAGTCACAGTGATCGAAAAGAACGACCCCGCTGCGTCTTTGAGTAGCTCATTTGACTTTAAAAAAAAATTCCCAGACAGTTCAGTTGACGAGTCAAAAGTAATATCCACCTTATGACTCCAAACATTTCACTTTTTTACCGCCCCTTTAGCTTTTTTTTTTTACTTCAAAATAAAAGCAGGTCTGTAGCCAAACAGAAGGTAAAACATTTTTAGTTTAAGACAGTCCATAATTTCAAACAAAAACTGTTTTTAAAGCAACATAAAGGGATTTCCAACACCCGATTAGTAAAGTGATTTATCGTCATTAACTATTGAAAAAGATCTTTCAACAGTCCCCTAACCCATTTTAACCTAAACCACAATTTTGGTTTAAATTTCACATTCTCACACTAACCACAACATTAAGAAGAAAACTTGAATATCTGAACATAAAGTTTCCCTCTAGTCTGGAGAAAGCAGCTGATTGAAGCTAACTTCCTGTTCAGCACTAAAGTGATATTACTTAGAGGCGCTTCTTCCCCCGCTCTAAAATCTTTAGACTCAGATCATCTTTCCGCTGACAGCTATATCACTCATCATTGCATCCTGTGTGATAAAGTCAGTTGGCCTTCATTAGACATAAATTCACCAGCTGCTATTTATTCATAAAGCACTTTCCAGTAATCGACCAGCATACATACATCATCACTTCTTTATTCAACTGGGCTAATAATCGTTAACGGACTCCTTCAAGGGACTGGCTGATGACTCATTACAAATGTTACCATGAGTCATTATTAAAAACCTGAATACGAGTGACTGTGCTCATGAGTCTACAGTAGCTGTTCGTTCTCTTTTTTTCTGTATTTGTCTCTTCGTCATCTATTTGTTTTAATCAGGATGATTAATTTTTAATGGAGACGGGGTGAGGATTAAATACGTTTATACTTCTTCCCATTTCTTTCCATGACAACAAGTATTTGAAAGATTCTTTGTTTGTGCTTTCTGTCTAATTTGCATATTTGTAAGTTTATTCATTTTTTTATTAACCTTGGTAGTAAGCATGTTTAATTCTGGAGTAAACATTTAAACATTGGATTCTTGTGGATTTACTCGTCTTAGAGCCAGCCTCAAGTGGCCACTCAAGGTACTGCGGTTGTCTGCACTTTCACTTGGCCTTCTTTTTTAGCTTGGAGGGCAAGGGTTACTTAGTTCTTCCCCCCTCATATTTCTGCTCCAATTAACTATTATTAACCAAATGAAGTGGCTGATAACTAACAAATCAGATGGGTTATTTAAAGGGGCTATATGGAACTTTCAAAAATACTGCGTTTGTAGCGATACCGCATGGCCAGTAACCTGTTGCTCGCTCTCCCTCGCGTGCTCGTCATACGTGCTTGTACGTACACAAACGAGCAACATCATCATCGGCCGTGAAACACTGGATATTTACCGGCATAATGTTTACAGAGGAGATAAGTGGTCATACACATGTGAAAGTCTGTGAAGGAGTCTGTGTGTCTGTATTCATTCTCCATCCTACAAACGACAGGCAGGCACTGGCTGAGAACGGGAGTGTGTGATGAGTTTGTCCGCCTTTGAGAGCTCCTTGGGCAGATAGAAGTGTGTGGAAGGCGGCCTCTGGCTGTAGCCGGGAGTGTGTGATGAGTTTGTACTGTTGATCTCTGTAAGCAGAGCGGAGTGAGAAGGACAGTGAGAATGCACAATAAAATGTCACTTCATGGAGCTTTCGCGGAAAATACGACCCGGGGAAAAATTTGATACAGCAACACAGATAGACAGTGAACATCTACTTTTTCACATCAGTTAACTGTTCGCTTATTAATGGGCGATAAAAAAATGATTTATACATGTAAAAAGTTGCATATAGCCCCTTTAAAAAAGATTAGCAGATTGTTTAATTTTTCTCATGACATGATATATTCAATTCAACCTTTTTCGTATTGTCAATTACTTTCACACTCAATGCCACATGCCTGAATTCTTCCTCTACCGGGTCAAAAAATCCCTTCAGACTGTTTACTCTTGCTTTCTGCACACAATCAAATACAAATACACACACACAAATTCATGCACAAAAGTCACATGATCAGCAGGATTATCCCTCTTGACTTCATTCTGCATCTCAGCAATCAGTCATGGCTTAACACAGACAGAGAGGCAGAGCGGGATACGAGGTGATAGGCTATGTATAGTGTGCTACAGCCATTATATGGAAATCTTGTGGTGGGGATAAAACGTGTGCATGTGTGTGAGAAGCTGCAGCTGCATCCTAATTGAGATTTATTCCCTGTCATGTTAGCAAGAGGGGAAAATCCACTTTCAAGCCGGCTCTGTCAGAGCTGCTGAGCCTGTCTGAGGGTGGTGTGCTTCACAACACATTTATTCCCCATGTGCGCGACCTGAACTCAACCAAAGCAGACATGCATTCAACTTAACCCTTACCTTAAATAAATACAGCAAAAATCCAGTATATCCTGTGTAAATGTCTGTCTGAGTCATGACTGGCTCAGACTGGTTGTGTTGTTGTCAGAGCCGTGTTTACATGGACTGGACGGCCTCCCCTTGTGTATAAAAGCTGTTTTAGTCAAGGACTAGAGAGAAGAAGAACATACTCGCTGATTATTTGGATGTCATGTGAGAGTTTTGAGATCACGGTCATTCTGTGTCAATTTACATGCAATGTGAATCTACGAGCTAACTAAAGAGCGCTAACATTAGCATGCTAACACAACAATACAGGCCAAAGGTAATTGCAGCTCGAGCAAAGGACAATTTAATCCGCTGCTTTTGCTGAATACCTTTGTGCAAGTGGAGAGGTTTTTTAGGTGTGTCTCTGGAGGAGAGCGGAGGCGTCAGAATAGCAGAGGTGTCACCAAACAGCAGTTTGTTTTGGTTTCATGCTGGTGCTCAAGGGCGACATCTACTGGATCAAAAAGTTTCACATTCTTCCTTTAAATCTTCTGCAAACACAACCCTTCAATAGCTTTTTTAACTGTACAATAATGGATACTATGCATGTAATAGGACACATTTAGACACATTTATTTTGAATCCAAATTGAAACACAATTCATTCAATTGTTGCGAAAGTTTGCTGACAGGGTTCAAACTGATGGGTTCAAACTCTGCATGTTTATATTTGGATATATTTATAAGATAATATAACTTCCATGATTCAATCACTGAAAAACTCCAACAGCAGCAGCTAACTGGCTGTAGACACCAAACATTCTGCCCCCAAATCAGCTGATTTTAAAATCCAAAATCTGAGTCTAAAACCACTTGCTGTCAGCTGATAACTTCTACCTCATTTAGTCCAAGCACACACACACTTAGACACACACTCACACAGACTCCACTCCTTTATCCCAACACTGGGATAATCATCCACGTTCTGAACTCTCATATCCTCCCACGCCTGAATCTTTCTGCTCCTGTGGGCAGAAAACCAGAGCACCCCGTTTCCTCTCCTCTCATCTCCGCCTCTTACCCTGCAGTTGTCATGAATCCTCTGTATTTGTGAGTGTGTGGATGTTTGTGTGTGTGTGTGTGTGTGTGTGTGTGTGTGTGTGTGTGTGTGTGTGTGTGTGTTTGTCACTCAGAGGTTGCCTGCAGGCTAAGCTTTGTAGGGTCTACCATCACGATTTTCTGATGACTGTGAATGACACAGTGCCAAACAGAAAACTGGTGTGCAGCTTCACTGAAGTAGTCTATTTGCATGCAACCAAACATACAGCTGTTAGTGCTTTCCTGCAGGTACACGTGTGTGTGTGCGTGTGTTCCCAGTGTTGTGATGCGTGTGCGATCATTGCAGAGAGTATGTGCACAGTGACAAATAGTTGATCTGTCTGGGAATGTGTGGGCGGGATTCTACTTCAAGAGCATGTCGTAGCAATTAGAGTTGGCCTCAACTACAAACACACACATGACTGCACGAGCACACACATCTGCAGATTTACATCATTCCAGATCAGCATCCAAGCTCATTCTGTACAGTCACATCATGTAACAGTAGAAAGCACTCTTTTTCTTCAATGGGAGGAACTTTCAGCTCCTAAAAATAGAAACTGTACACCGATGTTCTTCTCCTATAGAGTTTTCAGCTGAGTTTTTCTTCAGCTTCAGTCTCTAGTCGTGAAAAAAAAAACACACTGAAGAAAGCAATTGTCCTGTCATACTTAGAAACTTCCCATAATGCCTTTGAACTCGATCCAGAAATTGATAATATTAGTATTTAAGATGGACTATGAAGTCTTCTTTTAAAAAAAAGACTAAGGTTGCAGGGGCGTGTCCAGACTTTTTTGACTTGGTGGCCCAACTGGGGCACTGACTTATGCAGGGGTCCAACTTCTGACAGGGCAAATAGCCAATCACAATTTAGGACTTTTGGGGTTGCACCTCGGGTGGCCAATCCGATTTCTTGGGGGGGCACCAAACAAATATGGAGGACAATGGACAGTTGGCGGCCCTATTGTGATATTTCTTGCGTGAGACTTCATAAAGTCTCTCGTGTCTTTACCATATTTCCACAAACTGCTTTTCTTTTTAATATTCCACCTGGTACGCAACATCTGGTTGACACATCCCGGCCTGCTCGCTCTCTTTGGCTATTATTAGGAGTATTCTTTCAGAGGCGGTCCGATCTAGAATCCTAAATATCAAACATGTCCGATATTCATGATTTGGGATCAGAGAGGCTTTGACTACATCAGGAGCAGTAAAATAATCGTTTTGACACCACACACTTTTTTGGACAAATAATATGTTGCGGGCAAAGCTTCGGCCACGCCCCCATGATTGTTAGCGGGGGGGGGTAAAATCGTCTAGTGTGTAGCCAGCCTAAGAACTATGACCATGCTGGCAGCTCTGAAAAAAGCTTTTGTGTGCTTTGTCCTAACACCGAAGCAAAAGATGTTTTATCTTGTGTGCACGCTAGCATTTGCGCTTTGTACTTTAAAAAAAAAGTTAGTTCAATATAATCTGAATGTTGTAACTTTGCAGGTATCCAATGATTCTTTTTTGTTCCTCCCAGCTGCTCTTTCCTGTCTTTCTTGTCGTCGTGGTAACTAATGAACCACATTTCTGTATCGCTGATACTGTCCATCTGATGGTAAAAACAGCTTCTTTCCTTTGATCGCCTCTCTCCGTTTCTCTTTTTTGTGTCTGTAGGAGAATCACTGCAGGCGGATTAAGATCCTGGGGGACTGTTACTACTGCGTGTCGGGACTGACCCAACCCAAAGCTGACCACGCCCACTGCTGTGTGGAGATGGGACTGGACATGATTGACACCATCGCGTGAGTCACATGCACTCTGAAAGAGCCACACATCATCATCATCATCTTTTCTGCACACACAGTGCTCTGATACCTCGGATGAATCAGCGAGGGAACATCTTGGCCGCACCATTTCGCCTCAGTGTGTCTAGCCAATAAACGCGAACGGACGCAGTTGACTATTCGCCGCCATTTATTGTGTTTTGCAACGGTCCAATGCCCTGCTCAAAGCACGCTGGACACGTTCAGCTTTTTATCCCTCATTATGTGAAAATCAGGCATACGAAGGAAAACGGTAATGCGCTGTAAAGTAAATCAATCTTGTGGTTTGCTTGTTTGTTAGAAAGAAACAAATAAAAGGATCGCCGAGTGGGCGCCACAACTTTAGTCGGCCTAGACAAGGCTTAACAGGGGCGTGAATATCCGCCTTCAACTTGTAATATGTAAAGTACGAGGCAATAAAAGGGAAGCTTTGTTTAAACTTTATTTCAGTTATTTTGATGAGCTCAATCTGAGTTGAGCAGTCATGAGTCGTTTGCAGATTGTCTCTGCATCTCGCAGCTTTCTCTCACACCGTCACACAACCGACCGCTTACTCAACATGACGGGCACACACATGAGCAGAAACTCAAGATGATGTGGGAGGAGTTAAGCAGCAATAACTTGTGTGTTTGAAAACAGCAGTGTTGGAAATATTGATTCAAACTTTCATATGTTGATCATTTGTAAACCAGCACTCACACGGAATTTCAGTTTGTGGGAAAAGAAAAACAATTGGTGACACATATGACCTTGAATCCTCCCCTGACAGCATGTTCCTACACACACACACACACACACACACACACACACACACACACACACACACACACACATTTCCTTTTCCTTGTGTATACACTCACCTGTCATGTTCCCTTCCTCTACGCTCTGTCTGCGTGGATGGATGCTGTTGTAGGAGTCGTTTATCTCAGAGGACAGGGGCTGCCATACACACTCATCCCTCTGTGTGTGTGTGTGTGTGTGTGTGTGTTTTTGGGAGAGACATCCCTCCTTCAGCCTGACGGGCAGACCACATTTTCTTTACCCCCACCCTGTAAACACATACGAAAACGTTGTCTGAAGTGGCCGACCTTTTGCTGGTGACGATGAGGTTTGTGTGGTGATTTAGAGGAGAAGCTTTGGAAAAGTCCTGCTTGATCTCCTGTGTACGACACACACAACACAGGGAGGGAAAGGTGGTCTGCACATCTACCTGTTAACACACACACACACACGTACTGTAGGGACACATACTGTAGCTGCAGGCATGCAAACATTGTAGATTGTAAAAGTCACTGTCACTCAGGAGGTCAGAATGAAGCAGATCTGCCATAAATCATAAGGATTACATCTGTTTGTTTTTGTTACTTATACGTCGAAAAGATTTAAAATCATTCTAAAGAACAAAAGGAACCTAGAAACTACTTTGTGGGCTGTGATGACACTCAGAAAGGAAACAATTGAATCAAGCTGATTTTGTCTCTGACGCTCACTAGCGTCAGAGACGCAGATGCTGTTAGGACGCAGATGCAGATGCTGTTAGATGCAGATGCAGATGCTGTTAGGACACGGTGTACGCTCAAGAAAGTTTAAAAAAAGATCAATAATGTTCAGGGAATAACATTAACTATAGCAATACATTTGCTCCAAGGGCACAGTGATTGGTTTAAAAGAATGCCAAGCTAACTATGATAACTAGGCTAAAGGCTCCAAGGAGATTTACTTTACTTTTTGCGGTGTGTCCATCTCTGCCGCTACCTGTCCGCCCCCGTCTGCATTTTTTCGGCCGATTCGAAATTGAATCTGCAACGGTCAGCATCGGCGCAGTTAGTGAGAGGAATCACTCTGATTGGCTGTTCAGCTAAGCGAATCAGTGCAGGAGAAGAATAACGGAAGTGACAAAAGCAAATAAACGACTTTAACTTTTTTATCAGACATTATTCTCCATTAGAAGTACCTATACTGGGAGTGGTGAGTGACAGCGGTGAGAAAATGGTCTTCTCGTATCATAACAACGGACTACCGCACACCTGCTGGCATGGAGAGTTATTTCCTCTCACACATGCACAGAACGTTCATGGTGGTTGGTCATCGGCTGTAGTCTTAGCGGTGTGTTTAAGACACCATTAGTGCTTGGTGTGTCAGGGCCTCAAGGTTTCGGCTCCAGGGGTAATTTGGTTTCAGGTCATTCTGCTGTCAAGCTTTTTCTCTTCACACAAGAGTCGCCATGTTTGAATCCAAACAACAAAATCGAGGGATTTAAATTAGCAAACAGCTTGATTTTTCCCCAAAAGACATCATCATGAAGTGTTTTTCATTAAATCCTAAATGTGTACAGTAACTCCATAGAGTGGCGTGCAGCTTAAATGTGACATAGATGGAGATGGGTTCAAATCTGTGACAAACTTTATGAGATCATGTTAACTGTTGAACAAACAAAGAAAGATGTGGGGAGGATTCTTAAACTTCTTGGCCTTTCTCCCCCCTCTCTTCTCCCCTCCCCTCCACCCCTTCTCCTCCTCTCCACCCCTCTCCCCCTGCAGGTCGGTGGTGGAGGCAACAGAGGTGGATCTGAATATGCGTGTGGGCCTGCACACCGGACGGGTGCTGTGTGGCGTGCTGGGCCTCAGGAAATGGCAGTATGACGTCTGGTCAAACGATGTCACGCTGGCAAATGTGATGGAGGCCGGAGGGCTGCCTGGGTCAGTGTTGACTCTTACACCCACTGAAAGTGGACCCTGAGCACCCACAGTGCAAACACAACACAAACTTACTCTGACACATAGTAAGCCAGCAACAAAAAATACAGACGCGTGAGTGTGTGCATGCCATCAAATAAGTAACTCTATTATGTTTACTGTGTGCAAACCCAGATTACCAATGATTAGGTAAGGATGTTGTTATTTGACTCTGCAGATCACAGGAGTAGTGTGTCTACCTCTGCCTTTTCTAGATGTGTTTTCTACAAATCTCAATAAGAAATGGCAAACCAGCCAATCAGAGCTTCGAGAACAACATCCCAGAATTTAACAGGGAGCTCACATACACACACTGTCAGACATGCGCACACACACAGCGCTGCACTCCCCTCGCTGACTCAGCTGATCCCGTCTTGCCTCTGTAACGCTTCTGTTCCTACCTTTGAAGACGGTACAGAGGGGGGATCACTTCATCCGCCCATGGGGCCCACGCAACATTTAGATTGACGGTGATAAGTCACTTGGGCGTAAATATAGTCGCTTGAAACGGCAGTCTGAATAGTGCTATAGAATGAAAAACATTTTTTTTTTTTTTTTTTTATGAAAATAAGATGATGTTGTTCAGATGCAGCCGTGTGAGGTTTTAATCTGTTTTTGGACGACAATGAGGTTTAAAGGCTCAGTATGAAAATCCTGCCACCAGGGGGCTCTCAATCGATACAATCACACAAAATGACGTTGAGGCTGGCAGGGAATCATGGGTGTTCTCTGCTACTCCGAACAGACATTTTTATCACAGCAGCTCATACAGCAACAGTATGGCAGCTTTCAGCAGCAGGTTTTTGATGTAACAGCCGGCGTTTCCATGGCAACGGTAAACTTGTCGTATTTGTTATGGCAGCCGCAACTGTTACAACTAAGAAAATTACTGTTGGAAAGATTTGAAGTAATGGAAGTACTCAACAACAAAAAAATATATAACACAGGTTTAGTCCATTTTTAATTACTTCAGATATTTTAATTTAAACATTTGAATAAAATTCAACATATTGTCGATTAATGGCGCAGAAATTTAAGCCATGCAAGGCTTTTTTTGCATCAGCAGTCAGTTGGATGAATTCACTGCTGGCTTTAATCGTTTGACGCGCTTTGATAATTATGGTTGAATGATAAAAAATTGTGTCGTCTTTAAAGAAGTCGCCTTATCTCACATTCAGTCGTAAAAAGCCATTTGGATTAAATTACTCCGCCTTGATGCAGCTTTGCTCATTTTTGAAAAAAAAAAGGACGGTAACAGCAATTTGAAATAAGGGCGGACCGACCACATTAAATTAATGTCACTTTATTATAGAGAACTCAAAAGCAGTAGCAAGCCCATTTGCATTTAAAAAGTGTTGAAACGAGGTCACATCGTTGGCTCAATTTGGTCTCGTTTCAAGTGAAGTAATAAGATTTTAGGACTCGTTAGCAGATTAAATGAGTTGTTAGAAGGAAAATGTCTTTGCTGAATTTTGAGCAGGCTGAGGCGCTGTGAGGATGATAAAAATAATGAGGATGATAATGATTTGAGACCTGAAAGTGCCAGTCTTTTATCGCTAACCGCCTTGTGTCCTCTGTTCTGCTTATGCTCCCAGCAAGGTGCACATCACACGGACCACCTTGGAGTGTCTGAACGGGGACTACGAGGTGGAGCCGGGCTTCGGGCACGAGAGACACGCCTTCCTTCAGAAACACCACATAGAGACATATTTCATCGTGCCATCACACAGACGCAAAGTACGCCCAGACCTTCCTTCCTTTTCTTTTTTTTTGTGTGCATGCATTTGTCTCTCCGTGTTACAATAGCTAATCCTTTGAAGCAGAGAGGGAGGCAGGCTGTGTGTTAAGCTGGCATCCACATGGGTAGTATTACTTTCTCACACCAACTCTAAAATGCTCTGAGTAGACACAGTCTCCGCTCTGGTTTCACATGGAAACTGCAGCTGAATAGTCGTGCAAACACAGGCTTACAAATATAAGCATTTGAAATGTCCACGTTTTCTGATGAAACACGACGACTGTTAAAAAAATCCTGCTGTGACTGACTTAATTTCCAAGCACGAGAAAATTCTCCAAAGCACATTAAAATGGATTCTCCTGTCCCCCCCCCATCCCTAACTGGATAATGACAGAAAGTGGATTTCAGCCTCCACAATAGTGAACGGGATGATTGTAGGGTTAAAAAGGGTTTGAAAATGACAGGGTTTACCATTTAATTTTTAGAAGCTTTGAAGTTCTTGGAAAACAACTGCATGCAATGGAGTCTTCGGAGAGTAGACATTTCTACAAAACATCCCTGTTTTAGGTTTAAGTCTTTCCAGGAAATATGAACAACATTCTCAACATGTATTATCTTCTTATTTAAACAAAAAAAGAAAAAAAAAAAAAAAAAAAAAACTGAATTGCTTTAAGTAAATAGCATGTTATCCATAATTAAAGGATAATATGTAACTTTGACACGTAGTGTTTAAAATGGGTACTGCAGTCCAAATTCAAAACTTTAGAGAGCTTTCACCCCCCTCCCACTCCTCTCTAGAGTCCATGCTCACACAAGTTGCCATGTGGTGGACACTGAAGCTTCAGTGTTTAGCCAGCTCTGCATCGGTCTGTAAACCTTTCTGCGTTCTCACCTCTCCATTTTTCAAAAGCATCTCCAATATTGATCCTAGTTTGAGCACGTTTCTGCTCGTGGCGCTTATTAGAAACATGCAGAGGATTTTTAGGTCGGGTACAAATCATCTTCATTGCAAAAAAAGTGTGTACTTCACCACACTTCATTTTCAATCAGCTTTTTCCTTTCATTTTAACCTCATTATTTCTGTTCTTGTTTCCAGATCTTTCCAGGACTCATTCTGTCAGACATCAAACCAGCCAAGAGGATGAAGTTCAAGACCGTGTGCTACCTGCTGGTGCAGCTGATGCACTGCAGGAAGATGTTCAAAGCAGAGATCCCCTTTTCCAACGTCATGACCTGCGAGGATGACGACAAGGTATTTGCGCCCCTCTCTGATATTTCAACATGTGTGACGAGATATTTTTTTTTCTTTAAGCGTTTTTATTATGCATGTGAGAAGCAGCACTGTACAGTACAGAGAAGGTAAGAAAATATCTGGGTCATGCAGCGGGGAAAATCCTTTTAATGGGTTTGAACGTGCATTTATGATGGAGTGAAATCCTGCATGGATTTCTAATCTGCTACACGCGCGCACACACACACACACACACACACACACACACACACACACACACACACACACACACACACACACACACACACACACACACTGTAAAGCTGTAATCTGTATTTCTAGATTTTGCAGCGTCATTAATACTACAGTACAGTGAGTTACATCTACATGTTGACAAGCCTGAGGAATAGATATTATGAGTGTCTTCATTACAAGCTCTTAAAGTCTCTGCTCTTAACCCCTTTATGAAAAGAAACGTGCATATCGACTTTATTTTTTTATGGTCGTTCACCAAGTTTTTCAAGATATGATATTGGTATTTATTTCTAATAAAGGGATTAAAAATTTGTTTCATAATAGGGAATAATTCATAGAAATACAACGTCCCCAAAGAGAAGAAAGGCATGTTAATATTTCTTAAACGTTGGCAAGGCGCTCCGTCTTTGTAGTTTGTCAGTGATTTCTAAAGACGCACATGATCGACCCTCATTGCCCCCTGATCAGTTAGTGAACCAAGATGACACATCAGAAAACTACTTATCCATAGTTTAGATCCAAATCCTGCATCTAAATTAAGTCTTATGATCTTACTCTCAGCCCTAAATGTAAGTCTGCTTCTGTTTCTGCAAACATATTTCAGCATCTAACTCATGTTGACATCACTGTGAGCTTCTTTGCGTGTCTTTAGCGAGCATATTTTGGCTGTAAAAACCTCGGTGACACTGCAGTTAGCTCACAGAGCTGCTCAGTTGGTATTTGGCGGTTGACGATTGGTGTCGTCATGGCGTCACAGGGTCCAGGCTCACACAAATTGCCAGCAAGCTGTAATCCCCATGACTGTGTGAGCTTGGGCCAGGCTTTAGTATACATGATTCTGATGACGTTGCATTATGAGCGCTGGTAATCACCTGCAGCTCGGTATCGTCTGTGCTAATAGCATTAAGCACATTGTTGCACGATTATGCAAGTAGCCAAAAACCTGAGCATTGTGACACGTTTTGTAACAGAATTATGACACTTTGAAGTGTTTCATACCCCGTATAGTAAGCACACATGTAAAAATATTTATAAAACATGTAGTAAGAAAAGAAAGTGCTTTCAGAGCAGTCCTGTTATTTGACAATTTTTTTTACATATTATTCTACATACTGCCTTTATTGCTGAAGTGAGACAGGAAATGTTGGAAGGAAAGCCTGGGTAAGACCAACAGCAAAGAGCCAAGACTGAATATGAATCAAGCGGGATCCTCCAGTCTTGAAAAATGAAGCCAATGCAGAAGTGCAAAATCCTGCAGTTCCCTGAGTGTCCACTTGAGGCTGGCTGCAGGAACACCAGAAGTCACATACACACCCATTAAAAAAAACTGTTTTTACACCTTAAATAAACATGTTTACAGCCTGGTACAAAAATTGAGTTTATGAACGATACATGTTATCCATAGTTAGCCGCGTGTCTGACATGATTGACAGGTGGGCGCGATGTAACGGTTTCTCAAGAGACTTAAAACCCGCCTCAGCTCCAGCTCTCAGCCTGACGTTGGGTTGACCCCTTTAAAAGAGATATAGCACATACAACAGCATGCATTGGGAGCTCACAGTCTGTCCTTGTTAAAGAACACAACGTGATATTTTTTAATAGAAGTCTGGATCAAATCTAAGATCTTCTGCTCTGTAGAGTTTGTTGCAGCATGATTACGGTTATTTTCAACTCGGGCCTTATTTAACTCGTTTATGGTATCACGACGTCTGAGTTTGAAGAAAAGCGTCTCCACAGGAAGCAGCCACAGGACCTATGCAAACTCCATTAAAACCTCCCCACCAAAATAAAAGCAATTACTGTAAATCACACAATAACATCTCTACCACTGAGGATTCCACCCACACATCTTATTTTCTGATTAACCTCGTCCTGAAGCTACTTCAGTATGGTGTGTCATTAGTGTTAGATTAACTCGCTGCTGAAATGAATACTATATATAAAACTTCATATCATCTGAGAGCAAATCACAGAGCTCACTTCAGGAACAACATGTGAAGTGAAATGAGACGCTGTGTAAAATATAGATATATTTATATATTGTTTTTCTCTTGCACTAGTTTGGTTACGTCTGCCATCGCTCTGACCTCATGTAAACAAAAGTGACAGCGTGGCAAAATGACGTCAAACGGAGGAGAAACCGACGCACAGCGTGACGTTTAAAGAACAAAACTCTGTTTTCCTCGTCTTCACATAAACACCTTAAACAGAGTTTCTGGAAATCTTCCTCCTGGAAGGAGTTTTCCAAAAGGTGCGTTTTCAGCCTACAGTGTGGACTGTGCTGCATTCAGGTGCTCCTCGGAGAGTCCCATTTTCCAAGTTTGGTAGTCGTTCTTTGGAGTTCTGTGTGTTCACCTGATTTCAGTTTAGAGAGTGAGAATGTTGTCACAACAGCAACAAACAGTGTGGATGCTCAGAAAGCAAAAAGTTGTTGTTCAATACATGATTTCATAAAAAGTATCTTAACATTAACAAAACTTTTGTTTTTCTAACTTGTGAGCTATGGGACACTCCTGAATTTCCCCCAGGGGATGAATAAAGTATTTATCCATCTATCTATCTATCTATATTTTGCCCCCCATGTGATGATGAATATGACTTCAAGTCAGCAAACACGGCACATGAGTGTGCTGCATTCATGTAGTGTCGGACACATTGGAAAAACTAGTGTCAAAAGTCTAAAACAAAACACTTTTTAAAACATGTTTGTTTGGTTTAGATGAAGGTCACACTCTCATCAATTTCTCCTTCAAAAGGCTTCCTGTACAAACTTTGTTATTTTTTTAAGGTTTGCTTAATGTGTGATATCTAGATGACTTTACCTACTTAACCTTACCACGTCACCGGACAGGCCGACCTTTGCAGACACTGATTGTTTGTCTTTTTGCGGCGTCTTGACAGCGGCGAGCCCTGCGGACCGCCTCAGAGAAGCTGAGGAGTCGGACGTCCTTCTCAGCCGCCGCCGTGCAGCACTCACCGGGAACACGAGTCAACCGCTACATCGGGCGGCTCATCGAAGCGAGACAGACCGAGTCCGAGACAACAGACCTGAACTTCATCACCCTGTTCTACAGGAGCGGAGACAGGGAGCGCCGGGTGAGCATGCACGCAGGGACTCAGTATCATGAGCTTGAACAAACAGACGAGTAACAAATGTGGACTTTTCCTCATTACACATAAAGTAAGAAGCTTCGTGACTGCAGCTTCTCCCTCCCTCTCTTTCTCTCACATGCACACCCTACATAGTCTCTAATTCTCTTTCTCCCTCTCTCCCACGCCTGTTGTCTATGATGTCTGTGTGAGTCTGTGTGTGTGTGTCTGTGTGTGTGCCTGTGTGTGTATGAGGAATATCCACCCACACTCTCAGGAGGGTGTGCAGATAATGATTTGGGAACGTCTGAGCTGCACATGTGATATCTTCTTCTATGTGTGCGTGGGTAGAGCCATGAAGGAGACACAGAACAGGGACTTGTTTGTATGTGTGTGTGTGTGTGAGTATGTGTGTGTGTGTTAGTGTCAGTATCTGCCTCTTCATCGATGCAATCTAGACATTCAAGCCGGGAAAAGAATTAAGACTTAGAATCGTATGAAAAACAAGTTAATTTGGTGCAGTGGTAGCCTGGAGGTTGGTGTGTACCCTCCATGCACAGAGGATATGATCCTGGAGGCAGGTGGCCCAGCTTTGAATGCACAGGTCAGACTCGAACCTGGGCCGCCCGCTTGGAGGACTATAGTCACCGTACTGTACATGGGACGTGGTCTAGCCCACAGCTCCCAAAAAACAACATGGAAAAAAAAACCCGGCTATTTTTGATGTGTGTGTTCCTCTTACTGAGAAGGATGACTGAGAAAGGAAATTCGGTGTTTTGGTGCTCCTTACAGTTTAATCCCGATGTAGCCCTCGCTCTCTTTTTGGTTTGTTTACCAGCTGACAGATTGTTTTCTGTAAGCGAGGATGTTAAAACACACTTCAGTTTTGTAACAGAAAAGTTAACAACCGTGCTGTTGGTGTTTATCTGTTGCTGCCGCTCTGTGAAAGTTTACTGTTCAAAAATAAAATAATGGTCTCACATTCACAATTTCACAAATGTGCATTCAGCGTGAAAGCAGGGACAAATCTTCCCCCCACCTACCCCTAACTACACCCACTCAAACAGCTGATAGGATGGAGGGAGGGATGGATGGATGCCTCTCATGTTGACATTCTCTCTCTCTCTCTCTCTCTCTCTCTCTCTCTCTCTCTCTCTCTCTCTCTCTCTCTCTCTCTTTTGTTCCTCCTCAGTATCACCAGGTGTACGACGACCATTTCATCAGCGCTGTGGTTCTCTCTCTGATCCTCTCTGCTCTGTTTGGCCTTATCTATTTGCTAATGATCCCACAGTAAGTATACACACACACACACACACACACACACACACACACACACACACACACACACACACACACAAGTGCAATGTGCCCATTCGTCCAGCGTAATTGGATCGATCTGGCTGGGCTGTAGTGAGACAATTAAAGAGGAAAGTGTTGTTGGAATACAGGGAAAGCCCTCCTTCACTCTCTCGTCTCTCCTCTGCTCTCTCAGAGGGATGCTGGTGCTGCTGCTGCTGGTGCTGTGTGTGTGTTTCCACGTGGCCTGTGTCATGTACCTTCATCTCACCAGTGTTCAGGTAGGACTCTCACACCTCCTCCTGCAGGATTTCTGCACACACACACATTAGTCCCCTGCGCAACACAAACAGCTTCAACACAGCTTAGACAGAGGCTAAACACATCTGGATCATGCTTTGGCAGGTTTGTATTGATACACTCTTTGACTTTTATACTTTGAATAGACTACTGGACATTCAGTGCATCACAAGGAGGAATATCAGAGCAAAGCATTGAGTAGAGTATTAGGACATGCCCACCCTGACAGCGCACTCAAATTTCCCTGCAACTGCAAACAGAGCTGGTCAATCAAAGGAGAGTGGGCACGTAGCTAGGGGGGGCCTTAAAGAGACAGTAGCTCAAATGAACTCTTTCAGGAAGAGGCTGAAATGAGGGATTTTTCTGGTGCCAGTATCAGATAAATAAGACGGTTTTTGAGCTACACATCTCATAACGCTACTCAATAGGTGTCCCAGATTTAATGGTAAAAGTGAGGACAATAGACCTCCTTTAAAGATTACATCTGTGGTCAAATTATCCTTAATCCTGGTTTTAAAAAGTCCCATACAAGTCAAATGCTCCAGTTTTTAGGCGACTCTGTTCAGACCAAGAGGAGGAGGCACAACACCTGTTTTATTTGATCTAGTGTATAGCCTTGCAAAGACTTTTCTCTCCATTTCTCTGTGATGAAAGTTAAAGTAACTAAATCGTTTAATGCTGAGAACAAGCGATCAGTGGATGTTGATTCCTTCACAGCACGGTTTAGATTTTGTCTGTAAAAACACAGCTTCAGATGTTAACTATCACATACTAACCCCAGACTAACTGTGAAGTCATCTTCACTCTTTGACACCATCTTTTCCCTCTCTCTGTTTATATAACTCTCATGCTACATTGAACTGTCATCATATCCTTTAAGCGGCTCCTGCACATAATGAGCCCCACCTCTCGTGTCATTTCCACTCCTGGCTAATGATGTGTTCAAAAAGCTATTGAGGTAGATAAACAGGTGCTTCATTTACTCTCTTGTTCTGTTTCTAACTGCTTCCCCACCTCTTCTTCTTCTTCTTCTTCTACTTCTTCTCTTTCCTCCCATTGTAGTGCCAGCCGGGCTGCCTCACCATCCACATCCGAACAGTGCTGTCTGTCTTCCTCGCTCTGCTGACCTACTCTGTAACCCAGGCGTGTGTGGTAGGTCTGTCTTTAAGATCCCAAACCGGGATTTCATGAGTGTAATGATTACTTGGTTACACAGTATGTTTGTACTTTGAGTATATAATCAGGGGTGTGTCCAGAGGGGTCGGGGGTCACATGGGCCCCCCTTGAAATCTGTTTGGCCACCCCAAAAATCATTAACTGTGGTTGGCTATTTGCCCTGTCAGAGGCGGGACTAATAAACACTGACTATTGAGGGTAGCTAAAGGCTGCTGGTAGCTCTCTTCACATATCAATGACGCATATTTTCTTCATTTTTTACTTTGCACATCTATTTCACTAGACAGGTGCATAAGAAGGTAATGTAAAGCACACTTTCTTTATAGAATTGAACTTACAGGCAATTTCTTTTGGGGACCAAAACGTCACCAATGTATGTATTTTTGCAAGTAACAATGTTTAGGAGTTCACAGTAGAAGCTGCATTAAAAGTAGAACTTCCTGTAGTGCTACTTCATGTCATTAAAAGTCTGAGGAGATACAGAGTGCTGTGAGCTGAGGTCGGAGCCTCCATTAAAAACATCAAATAAATCAACATTACTGATGTCAATGTTTTAACCTTAATATGCTTAAAAAAACAGATATTAGTGTGCACATAAACACTGAATGAAGTGTCAAAAGAATCTGGGTTTAGTAGTGATATCACCACACAATGGCCTAAAAATCTTGCACAATAGTAATGATAGTAAAAGTAGCGTTAGAACTGATTGTAGTCAAAGCTCTGGAGATAGATGAGTAAGAAGCAGTGTCATCATTTGGTGGTTCATCCTGCACACTCCGCTGTTGTTACAGAGTCTCTGCAGCACTGGAGTTGGCAGATTAATGCCATAACGGCTGAGCAGATGGTGCTGTGGGCCTCTGAAGAATAAAACAGTTATTGTTCGAGTGTAAAATATCCATTAAGATATTTTAAATGCAAATAGGTCTGCGTCAGCGTCAGCCCTGTGTGTGTGTCAAACGGGACACAATAAAGCAAAGGTGAAGCAGGCAGCAGGGAGGGTTGTTTCTGCTAGCTTCAGCCTCTGAGAGTTTTAATTATTGGTTAATCAAACTTGTGTGTGTGTTTGTCGGTGTGTGTGTGCGTGTGTGTGTATGTGTGTGTGTGTGTGTGTGTGTGTGTGTGTGAGTGTGTGTGTGTGTGTGTGTGTGTGTGTGTGTGTGTGTGTTTTTTTCTGGGAGTGTGTTAGAATTTTAATTAAGTCTGCAAAATGTTCAAGATCAGCCAGCGAAACAGGAGCCGACAGAAATGCTTTTGATCTTTTTTTGGAAAAGGAAGTCACAAACTAGAAGTAATTGAATTATAATTGATAGAAATAATATTAAGAACACTTCAGCCGTGCGAGCAGCTCTCTGAAACTACACTGAGCACAACAGAAGGAGAACCAACGGACTCTCCAAACCGGCAGAAGACTTTCTCTGGCCTAAAAGGCAAAATGATGACAAACGAATCAACTAGAAGAGGCATATTATCGCTTGAATTATTTGCAGAATCTGACTTGTCTGCCACTCTCCGTCTTACAGAAACTCGCTGGTGCAATAAGAAGTTAGGCCTGGGTGAAGTGTGGAGGAAGGAGGGGAGGGGGGAGCTGAGGGAGGAAGGAGGTGTGAACAAAGAGATAACTTGTTTTGGTCTGAAAATCTCCTTTGAAAGTCACACAGTAGGACTTTGACTTTAATGCCTAAAGTTGAAATGACTCATGGATGTGATTCCTCCTGTGTTTGTGTGCTGGCGGTGCATGTTCTTCAAAATTGTGGTACGCTTCTAACTGCTCAATTAAGGGCAAAGCAAACAATGTTGTGTTGCCCGGTATGATCCGGTTTCGATAAGTGCTTTGTGTCTGTGTGCGTCCGTAATGAAGACCGTAACTAGCTGGGATTTCAAAGTGGTCAGGAGCTCGGTGGTCAAAATGAGAAAATCTTGCCACATGTGTGTCCTATTGTCACACCTATTTCTACTTCCGACCTTATGTCTCTCCCGCTCTCTCTCTCCGCCTCTCTCTTTCTTTCCTTCTGTTTGTTCTCCTACATGTGGTGGTCAGGTTTGAGTGAGTTACTGTGCTTACGTATATGCCTGTCACTAAAACTTTCTCATGATCCCCCCCCAAAGTCAATCAATATTGAGATTCAGTTTAAAGGTCCAATCAGTAAAATGTGTAGTGACTGAAATGATAAAGTGATCTTACTATATGATCAGACATTAAGGAAACATGCTATGTTGAAGTGCTGGCTTCTCTGACAACAACGCAGCAGCCAGTATGTCCTCCTTCTAACTTTAGATTCTGGTCCTGAATGCTCTGGATTTGTTTGGGCCAGAGAAGGTAGGCGGTTTTCAGGAGACCCCCACACGGCCGTTTTGGACGCCCCTCGGTTTTCCAGATATGAGAGCAGTTATCAGGTCAAACCAACAGGTGTTGCAGCGATGGAAGCGGGCAAGAGATCTGGTTCAGATAGAAGTGATTGTACCCGACCTAAAAAGCCTCTGCATGTTTCTAATATCTCCATGAGCAGAAACGTGCTCAAACTAGGATCAATATTGGAAAATTATATTTTGAAAAATGGAGAGAGGTTAGAACACAGAAAGGTTTACAGAACGATGCAGAGCTGGATAAACACTGAAGCTTCAGTGTCTGCAACACGGAAGCCATCTTTAATCCATTTAGTAACCATCTTCACTTTTATTTCTTCCATCCCTTCCTCCAGGTTGGATGTGTTCCTTGGGGCAGATTTGGGACAAACTCCAGCCTCTCTGTGGATGACGCCCCTGCAGATGCTCTTCCTGAGGTCGGACCTCCCAACAGCACGCTGGCAGACAGAGCTTGTACCAACATGGCGTATGCGCTGCTGTCCTGTGTGGCCGCCACCCTCACTGTTGTCCCCTACCTCCGAGTGTCCTCGCTTCCTAAGATCATCCTGCTCTTCCTCCTCTCTGTCACCTACACCGTCGTGATGGAGACTAGTGGCTATCGGCAAGCTGTGGGGTGAGACTGTAGTGATATCATGTCTGATTTATGGTTTAATTCATGTTTCTTCTGAGAAAATAAAGCATAAAGAACCAAACAGCCTTTTCTTTTTGTGTGTATGTGTGTGTTTCAGAGGAGGGTTTCTCCACACGCGTGGGTATGATCCTGTGTTGGCGGTCTTGCTGTTTTCTGCAGCTCTGGCTCTGCATTCGAGGCAGCTGGACCTGAAGCTGCGGCTCGACTATCTCTGGGCCACTCGGGTATGTACCTTTAACTTGAAGCACAAATGTAACCTCTTGTTTTGTTTTTTTGTACATTTAGGCTGTGGTTGTAAATCTTCCAATCAAGTTTAAAGTTATTCTGAGTGGAGTGGATGTCTTCACCTCGAGTTGTGGAGAACATAATCTATGATCTATGATTGAGAGGTTTGTGGTTTGTTCCTCAGCTTTATGAGTATGTCTGAGATACTAATGTAATGATTTGGATGTTTACCAACGCAGTAAGAGCATTTGCGCTTTGGCACGGTACACTTCATGCAAGAGCACGAGCACGGGTACACAACGTGGACAACCTTTATTATGGAGAAATCCCGGAGTGTTCTGGCTGTATCTGACTAACATGACTCAAAATAAGACACAAAGTCAGTAAAATATCTGTCATGTTCTCTGTGTTGTTCTCTGATGTGCAGACGCGGACCCGACCATGTGTCCCTCCCCCCCCCCCCCAACTCCGCCTGTCTTGTCATCTAAGCACGCTTCATGATCATGTAAAGCCATGCATGTGTTGTATTATGACCTTATGTTGAAGAGGTAACCGTGCTCAGGCCCGGTTAGTCCTGGAGCAGTGTGAGTGCAGACCAGAAGGGGAATGGGGAGGGGGGATCAATTGCGCTTAAGCACAGTACGGGACAACTTTACCTAGTGTGAGTAGAGTAATGTTAAGTAGCATACCTTTGCTATGATTTGTTCTTGGGAGCCTCCGAGTGAGCTGATGTGAGAAAACCTTTAAGACTCAAAGTGTCTCGTTTTTTTAGACACAAAGTATCACCAACTCAAAGTTTTCTTTCTTTTTTTTCTGTAATAAGAGAGATGCAACCGTCCCTGTCTGGGTTCTTCCAATAAATGGACTCCCAAGCATCAATGTGCACCAAGTTTTTATTTTAACTTATTGTGTTATTATTGTGTCATGCTACGAGACCCCATGAATATAAAGAGACCAAAGACCAAAAGTAGACTCGTAATGATAGTAATACTAACAACCATCCTGATGTTTCTTCCCGGCTTCAGAGACTAAAGTAGACATCTTATAAACATTGAAAATAAAAATGAATACAAACGACGCACCACTATAAAACTGAACATTGAGTTAGAGCGATCTTAACAAGTTCAGGTCCTCAGCTGAAGGATGAAAAGAGGCCTTCTTTCTCCGTCTGATTTAAAAACATTCAGCACGGCGACAGGTTTTGTGTTTATGCAAATTAACATGTTTGTGATGAGTCACATTTCCATCTGTGTTCTCTTTATCATGACAAAATAAAAAAAACCTGTCATGCACGGACGACAACAGAATGAAACCGTTTGTAGTTTGAATCCTTTTGTCACTGGAGCTTGAAAAACATCAACATAGTTCATTTGTTTAGTTTTAATATTTGTACTCTTGGCTCCTTTTTTTCCTCTCTGGTCTCTTTTTCATGATATGCCGTCTTGTAAACGTGTTTGGTGCTCGGCGTTCTTTTTTAAATATTACACAATAATTCAAAAAAATTAAAGCTGCACGGTGGTCTAGTGGTTAGCGCTGTTGCCTAACAGCCAGGAGATTCCTGGTTTGAATCCCCAGACAGTGTGGCTGGTTGTCTGTCTTTATGTGAGCCCTGTGATTGACTGTCCAGGGTGTAACCCCGCCTCTCGTCCAATGACAGCTGCTGGGATCCACTCCATCCTTCCCCCCTGTGACCCTGAATAAGAAAAGCCGTACAGATACTGAATGGATGGATAATATTTTAGAATAATAGATCAGATTTTTGCAGTTTTCTTGCTCTTGTGTTTGAGATGAATTAATTTCCCCCCAGCTGTGTGTAATCATCGTAGAAAGCTGAGCTAATAAATTAAAATGTGTTTCATGATGAGGGGAGGATTTATTTTTGTGTAAACACAGTTTAATATCATGCACATTTTCTCCAGGATGTGTTTGCATGCTCAGTCTTGTTCAGTCTCAGCGGATCATGAGAGTGTTTGTGTTTCTATTTTTAGAATGACAGTGAACGTTTCTCTTGTTTGCAAATCATTATCTCCCTCTAGTGATAAGAAGCAGTAATTACACCTGAACTCTGAGCCACATTAGAGGTTCAGGTTTGGCTCACCTCTCTGTCTCGCCCTGTGTGTCCTGTGTCTTGTCTCCAGGCGGAGGAGGAGAGAGGCGACATGGAGAAAGTGAAGCTGGACAATAAGAGGATCCTGTTCAACCTGCTGCCGGCTCATGTGGCTCAGCACTTCCTCATGTCGAACCCCAGGAACATGGTGAGCATCCGCAGTTTAAAGAGGAAACGCCTGTGAAGACTTGAAGATTTGTAGATCAGAAGAGTCCCAGACACCTTGTTTAAAAGTGGGTCAGTCCTGAGTGAAAAGTCAATGTTGTTAAGTTGCCATTATCCGTGGTTATGAACGTTTTATCACTCTCTTTAAAGGACTCATTAACCACTGACCCTTTAATGAATTTAACAACGACTTTTCCCCCTCAGAGTTTTACTTTTCAATAACTTTAATAAAGCCTGGAGAGGTGAAATTAAACAATATCAGTTAATATTACGGGAAAAATTAAACCTTTGTGCTAATTAAAAACCCTTTAAAGACATGTTAGTGCGAGATAATATGTGCTTTAAGTCCTCTGTGTTTACAGCAGTAACCTGGACAACATGCCAGTGTGCTGTTTGTGCACACACACTTGTGTGGAAGAATGTGTAACTTTTTGATCCAGTAGATGTTGCCATTGAACATTGAACCAAAACAAACTGCTGTTTGACACCAGCAATTAGATTTGCAACCATAATTAAGCCCAAGCGGCGGACAAAATTGTTCTTTTCTCGAGCTGCGACCCTGAGGCAGGACATGGCGTATAAAGAATGGCAGGGAAATGGTGGGCGAAGCAACAGAGTCAGCTGTTCTAGGGGTTAACCTCGGTCGTGCACCGATCACAGGATCCAAATGTCACCACCCCCTCCCACTTGCTCGAGGTGAATCCACCTGATCATATCCTCCTCCGTTCTCATATCAGCAGACTCAGAAAAATACTTGGGGTCTGTCAGGAGAAACTCCGGATGAAGTCTGAGTGAAAAATGTGTCTGTTTGCGTTCACACATGCAGTAGTGCCCCCCAACACCCTCGAGAACATCAGGAGTTCATCAGGAGTTTTTGCAAGTGTGAACAAGGCTGAAGCTGTCAGAAGATGACAGGACATTTACTCTCGGCATCAAAAAAGCCTTTTTACACATTGATGTTGATATCAGTTCCAGCTGAATATCAGATGTTTTTTCTCATAGAAGAACAAGTTTGATGAATTGATTTCATAAAAAGAAATGCCCCACATGTGCCTGAAGTGTTGATGTGGGAAAACATCTCAGCTGTTTGGGGACAATGGCTCTGCTTCCCTCAGCTTGTGTTGATGGTGTTAAAGTGGAAGTGTGAGCTGACAGCCCTGCGTGTTTCTGTATCCACTGATTGATGAACATCCCCTCCACTGATCTCAGTTCCTTCCTCGTCCCCGCTCCTCCATTTTTCAGGAAGTGATGAAAACATACATCCTTTCAGGAAATTCACGAGCTCTCGGGAGGACAGGCTCGGTTTGTAAACACTGAAGCTGTGTCCACGTTCTTCATGCTACATCCTTCTAGTGTCAACATTTCACATGCTGGATGTCAATGTGTCATGCAACAGTCCCCAGTGTAACTTCAACACAGACAGAAACACCAAGCAAATGCCTCTGCACACTGTCTCCGAACCGTTTGTCCTTCATTGGGGTTTTTTGCGAATCTCTTTTCTGCATTTTCTCGCAGTTTTTGTGTGTGTGTGTGTGTGTGTGTGTGTGTGTGTGTGTTTGTGTGTGTGTGTGTCCCTACCTCAAACATGCTGCCAAGTGAATGTATGTTGAAGTAATCCCAGGATGAGTCTGCAGAGGGCGATAAGCGGCTCGTCCTGCATACCATACGATAGTCCCCCAATATGACACCAACAATTTCATGAGACGATTTCAAGCCTCACAGTGCTCAACTCCCATTACTGTAGGGCAGCCCTCCCCTGGCAGCCCTGCAGCGTTCTGCCCCCCCAGGAGGCTTCCAGAGAGCTAGCCAATCAGATAAAAGTGGGCATGTGGGGAGGGGGGTGGGCCTTAAAGAAACAGCACGTGTAGGCAGATGCTTGAGATAAATAAGAATCATGCAAAGCTCCTCTTAAGGTTTCACAGGCGGACAACATGAAAGTTTAAAATGAGGAGAATATGGGATCTTCAAACAAACTCAGGCGTGTTTGGGCCTCAAACTGTTGTCGGTCGAGGAGGAGACCAACTTTGTGTGTGAAGAGTTTAAATTTTGACTAGACTTTTAATGTAAGTAGACATCAAAAGAAAGCTGAAAACATCAACATGTACCATTAGAATTATGTTGAAAAAAATCAATGTGACAGGCTGAGAAGAAGAATACACCACATTGGAGGGAAGTATTTTCATGGTGCAATAATTCACCCAGATGAGACACTAGACAACCCCAGGCTTTGGCATCACAGATGACTGTGGGGATGACTGGATGTGTCATTGGTGTTGATCTTTTTTCAGGGTCGACTTTATTCATTTTGATAAAGAGATAAAGTAGGATAGGGTGTAAAACCCTTGAAACAATCGTTGGGCCGTGCATCAGAGGCTGCAGAGATCGTCCGATGCTGAGACTAGTAAACAAAGAGGGCAGGAAGTCAGGAAGGAAGTTTCCGGCACATTGATGACCCCCCGTCGGAGCTGCAATGTATAGAAAGGCTTCCTCTCTTTCCTCTGGGCTAAAGTTCACTCACACTGTGTTCATAACACAGCACAGTGGGACTCTGCTGCCTGCAACTCAAGATTCACTGCCTGCAACTCGATGATTAGAAAATGTGTTTTTATCACATGTGGAATGACAGAAGTGTCCTGCGAGTAAAACACATTTGTCTGCAGATTTTAACCAAAAGAGTTGACGGAGCACCTCAAACTCTTCAGTCTTAAATCTGATCCTGCAGCTGCAACATATGTGACCTTTATCTACGTCTGAATCACAATAACGAGGAGGACCATGTAGTACGTGCAAAGAATTAGTTTAAAAACTAAAGAAACAAGGCTTTGCTGATCGATGTACAGATGAAGGATGCAGTCTTCCATGTGTTCAGTTGTCTGGACTCATGAAATGTGCAAAACTTATCATTCATAAAATGAGATTTCAGTGGGAAACACTGACTTTCAGGGAAAGGAAATTATGTTGTGGTGTTGCTTCCATCAGTGAAGACATATTAAACGTCATGTGGAGATATTCAGCAGTAAATTAATGGTACACAATAAGTATTGGTGCTCACTGTGGGCAAAACAATACGATTAAAGCTCTGACTCCATTAAAGAATCAAAATCAAAACAACCTCAGTGCGGGACTTGCGGGAAAGGAGCCACAGGTGGGATTCGATCCTGGGCCGCCCGCTCCGAGGACTATGGCCTCTCTCTCTCTCTCTCTCTCTCTCTCTCTCCACACATTGCCTGTGTCTCTTCAGCTGTCCTTTCCAAATGAAGGCAAAAGGAGAAGGTAGTTGAACTTAAAACAGAAGCTTAATATCATTTACCTCCATTGCAGGCCAGCGGGGGAATGGGGAGGCGGAGGCAATCGTGCTTAAGCACAGTATGGGACAACTTAGCCTCGTTTGAGTGCGCCCTAAATCGTCTCAATATCTGACTTTGCGACTCTTATAACAAGTTTTCATTCACATTTTTGAAAATGTGGATTATGACAACTGGCATTGCTATATATGTTTTTGATAAATCGATTGGAATTTTTCCGTATTTATATCAATTTTTAATTGTATTGTGAGGTATTATTCCATCCCTACTGCTTATTAAAATGATGGTATGGTTAGCAACCTAATTATTGAACTACCAATCCACCCATCAAACTTCCCACAGATCTCTCGTCTCTCCGTGGTGGCTAATCAAATTACTTTTACAAGAAACTTTTTCCAGCTCCTCCTTGGGAATCCCGGGGCCGTCCAAACCAGATGACATAGATTATCCTTCCAGCATCTTCTGGGGTCTACCCCAGGGTCTCACACATACCTTGAAAACCTCCAAAGGGAGGAGCCCCAGATTCACCCTGATCAGAAACCAAAACCACTTAAGTCGGCGCTCCTCCAAACTCCCTCTGGTTAAACAAGCTTTTCACACAAATGGTCTTCTTCAGCAGGTGGAGTTAAACCTCAGTTGTGTTATTACAGGAGGAGGCCTACCGATACACCACCTAATTGTTTTCATTTGACTAAATCTACAAATTTAACGTCATGTGGCAACACTTGGTTTAAAAGTTCCCACAGGGGCATTCTTTCCAACGTCTTAAAACCCTCAGATCAGAGATTTGACATATTTTTTCCTTCTCTTTAGGACTTGTACTACCAGTCCTACGCTCAGGTCGGAGTGTTGTTCGCCTCCATCGCCAACTTCAACGACTTCTACATCGAGCTGGACGGGAACAACATGGGCGTCGAGTGTCTCCGGCTGCTCAATGAGATCATCGCCGACTTTGATGAGGTCAGTAAACTCATCATCCCGTCGTAAATCTGTGTTTATTTTAAATAGTTTTTCCTGCAGGTTTTGTGTCTTCCCTTTGGGAGAAATTTGAGGGAAACTCTGCAGCTCGGTAATGTCATCTCCAAGGATGACACTGCGGTCATGACTGTCGGTTTTCAAAAACACTGTTTATTGAAGCAACGTGATAAGCAACGGTTGTGGTTGGGAAAGTTCTGCAAAATGGGCGATTACTCACAGATGACTTTGGCCTGAGTGCGTCTGTAATCAGCAGCATGAAGCATCAAAGATGACACTGTGGCCGTTACTTGGATGGACCATGAAAAAATGGTCAATTTTTTATTGCATTTTTATTTGTTTACCAAAGCTATCGATGATTTATATGAACTTAGACTCACAATTTGACTATTTGGATTTGAAATTTGTAGGAAACAGTAATGATGCAAAAACCCAAATCTTTAGGAGGTAGTGAAGACTACTTGAAATAAAAGCATGGACGAGCCTTTCTGGGTCTCTTTTTTTCAGTCCTAAAAATCGTTTTACACTTAATTTAAGCCCCATTCACCTGACAGGTCCAGATACACGTTTTAAGATTTTCAAGATATATATATTTTTTTAGATTTTTATTTTTATTTTTTTACTTTAATGGAGGGATACGACAGTGGATAGAGTCGGAGTAGGGAAAGAGTAGGGAATGACATGCAGGAAAGGAGCAACAGGTGGGATTTGAACCTGGGCGTCCCGCTTGGAGGACCATAGCCTCTGTTCATGGGGCGCGCGCACTACACTAAAAATATTAGTGTAAACAATAACTGCTAATGAAGCAGGCGCCAAAAATGAGATATATCAACTAATTTAGATATAGACATCTCATTTCAAGACACTCAACAAGTACATTTGACTTCCTGCACTGGCATTTATGTCTTAATATACGATGTGTACCTAGACTTGTCGGGCGGATTTGGTTTAAAATAAGTATAATAAGATATTTTTGACAGGAAATGAGGCAAACCCAAACTTCTAAGATTTGAGTTTTTGCAGTGTTAACGCTTATTTCTTCTTCTGTCTCCTTCCAGCTGATGGACAAAGATTGCTACAGGGATATCGAGAAAATCAAGACCATTGGCAGCACGTACATGGCTGCTGTAGGGCTGGTTCCTACAACTGCCTCCAAGGTACACGCATGCAGCAGCTATTTTTAGTCCCCGCATGAGTTTGCAGAGTATTAGGTTTTCAAAACAGTTCAGATTGCACTATTTCAAGAGATTTTTTTCTCTGGCTGTTGATATTTAGAAAGCTGTCACATTTCACTCCACAAATCCTCCGTGATGGATTATGGACTTCTATGGCGTCAGCATGTTCCACATTCATGAAGTTTCTTTGCTAAAATCCTGCAAAGCGGATAAACAAAAGAGGCCTCTCTTCTAAACTTTATGTGAACATAACTCCCGGTCTTACTTTAAACTTTGGGAAGGAAACCTTGTGTGTGATTTTGCTGGCATGGAGACTTACACCGAACAAAAGAGGACCTGGATCCAGAAGGATCATACGGTTTACAAGAGTGGGTACAGGGAGATCTCATCTGTCACAAATGCTTCAGCTGATATCGCCCATATGTGAATTCCTTAACAATCTTAGAAATACAAAAATCACAGATCAGGCAGATGGCATCACCTGATGTTCTAACCTCTTCAAGAAGAAAGAGACTGAATGAGCAGGGGCCTGGTCAGAGGGGTGGCATGGGCCCCTTTGAAATCTGATTGGCCAGGTGCCACCCCAAAATCCAAATCTTTGATTGGCTATTTGCCTTACCAGAGGAGGGACTTAAGTACAACTATTCTGGCTGTTTCCATCAGGCTGATGGTAGTACTTTCTGTTGTGCAAGAGTTTGCATGCAGTCTTGTTGGTACCTAAAATCTTTGTTTTTGAGTCCCTAAAGAATCAAACTAAGAAGATGTATATGTTTCCACATTTTGTTCCTAACAACTACACATCATTTGTGTGGATACAAAGGGGTAAAAAAAATGAATCAGTTTACATGTGTGTACCCACAAAGGTCCGGCCACCCCTGCATAAGTCAGTGCCTCAGGTGGGCCACCCCACTTCAAAAAATCTGGACACGCCCCTGTGAATGAGAGTGTGTAATATTTCCACCAAACTTTAATACTGACTTCCCTTATCTGAACAGATCTAAGTTGTGTCCTAAATAACACACTCATTCCCTACTCCATGCTCCCTACATAGAGAGTTAGCTGAAGTTGACTATAAAGTGCACTCATTTGGCACAATAATAAATAAAAAAACCTTTTCAGTGACCTTTGATCGCCAAAATCTAATTAACTCATGCTTCATCCAGCCAATCAAACGGTAAATGGACTTGAGCTTGTAGAGAGCTTTTCTAGTATTATGACTACTCAAAACGCTTTTTACCCCACAGGTAGTGCACTAATTCGGCAAAATGAAAAAAAAAATTCAGGAAACCACTTTCTCGCTCTACAGCCGTTGACAGTGACGTCATACTAACGTTACTCCATTTACTTTTAAACTTAGTAGACTTCATGATCACATACAGCCATTCATTTGTTGTATTACAATGTTATGAATAAGAGGTAACCATGCTCAGGCCCAGTTTGTCCTGGGGCAGTGTGAGTGCAGGCCAGCGGAGAAATGGGGAGGGGGGACAACTTTGCCTAGTGTGAGTGCGCCCTAAGTCAAAGAACTGGAGTCTGTGTCACACCTGAATTGTTTAGTGTAGGCTCATAATGGATGTCAAAGACTTGAAAAAATGTCTCTCCAACATCATCATGGATGCACATAAATGATGCCACAAAACCTGATTTAATCTGGGAAGTAAATAAAATAGATTAACATCCAGATTTTTTTTTTTTGTCCAGGGATGAATCAAGTCTATTTACAGAGATATTGTTATATAATTACCTCGTTGTTTGTGACTTTGATCAATTGAAACTTCATGACGTTGGAAACTAACTTTAATTTTGTGCATTTATTCCAATGTTATCAAGTCAAATAAACACAACTGGAAGACATATCACCTCCTAAACTGTGTCTTTTTGTTAAATTTTTTTTTTTTTTAATCTATAGGCGAAGAAATCCATCACCTCACATTTATGCACAGTTTCCGACTTTGCCATTGAGATGTTTGACGTCCTGGACGCCATCAACTACCAGTCGTACAATGACTTTGTGCTGCGAGTAGGTGAGAGAAAACACACACTCACACACACACTCACACACAGACACACACTGGTCTATATAAACATGGCTTTGGGAGCTTCTGACCTATTGCACTGGACACCATGGACGCTCGGTGCCGGTAAGCTCTGGAGGAAATGCATCACAGAAAGAGCGCTCCTCTGCAGGAAGCTCGTCACAGCGAGACCTGAAGTTCTGGGTTCTATTGTGTTGGGTATCCTGTGGGGAGCCTGCAGCAGGAGCCCGTGTTTAATCCCAGCGTAGCCTGGTGTACACAATGCCATCCTGTCTGCAGACTGAGGGGCTCCATGTGGAAGAACTGCATATGTTTGTGTGGCTTACTGAACCCTGCTTGCAGAAACACCACTATTGGGAATCTTTGTTATTTCTGCAGATTTCCAGTCAGTACAAAAAAAACAAAAAACAAAGATTGGCCTGGTTTTACTTGTTCTGTATGTGACATTTTTCGGTTCTCTCGAACCCTCAGAGCTGTGTCTGCAGAAGAGACAAGTCATCATCGTGACTCAATATGGTATTCATTTGACACACTATAGACAGACATAGCTGAACAGCAGCAGCTGCAGAGACAGCAGTTAGTGGATTGATTCTTATTTTATGAGTACCACAGACTTTATTTCTTGTTTTGAAGTTTTGATCCTAGCATTATTTATTATCATCAGTTCCACACAGAAACTGGAATTACTGCCTCACTGTTGTAATGCATCTTCCAACCAGTCAACTGTTTTCCCACAGAAAGACAGGGTAACTGTGACAAAATGGGACAGGGGTAATTCCAGAGAAAGTCTAGCTCTTAAACCAGGAGTTCTCAAACCCCGAGAATAAGGGTGCCAGACACTGGGAACCCCCCACTGTCCCTTGAGTTGGCTAAGACTTACTAGTACCGGGTTGGACCCCCTTTTGCCTTCAGAGCTGCCTTAATTCTTCATGGCATAGATTCAGCAAGATGCTGGAAACATTTCTTCTTACCATTATTTTGGTCAATGCTAACATGATAGCATCACACAGTTGCTGTAAATTTGTAGGCTGCACATCCATGAGACGAGTCTCCAGTTCCACCACATCCCTAAAGTGCTCTTTTGGATTGAGATCGTGTGACTGTAGAGGCCATTTGAGTACAGTGACCTCATTGTCATGTTCAAGAAACCAATTTGAGCTTTGTGACATGGCACGTTATCCTGCTTGAAGTAGCCATCAGAAGACGGGTACACTGTGGTCACAAAGGGATGGACATGGTCAGCAACAATACTGGATACGTTTCTCGATGCTCGTCTGCATACCACGGTTGTAACGAGGGGTTATTTATTTACTGTTGCCCTGCTATCAGAACAAACCAGTCTGGCTATTCTCCTCCGACCTCTGACCTCACGCATCAACAAGGCATTTTTGCACAGAGACCTGATGCTCACTGGATTTTTTTCTCTTTTTCGGACCATTCTCTGTAAACCCTTGAGATGGTTGTACTTCAGAAGATAATCTTGAACATGTCTACATGCCTAAATGCATTGAGATGCTGCCATGTGATTGGTTGAAAAAAGATATTTGCATTAACGAGCACTTGAACAGCTGTACCTAATAAAGTGGTCAGTGAGTGTTTAGCAGCGCACAGCCACACCCTCGCACTTATAGGCCTATCTAAACACTGGTAACACAAAATAACCGGGTCAGGTTTAAGTAAGTCATTAAACTAACTGAAGAATAAAACAGCCTAAAAAGCACAATATTATATAATCTATAGAAGATTATTGTAAGAAAGGCTAGAAGCAGAATACAAAAAAAAAGTCCCTAAAGATTGGGATTGATGTTAAGTTGCAGTGACCTTGACTTTTCACAACTTCTTGCTTCAGTCCAAGAGTCAAATTCTGCGATATTCCCTGCGGACGTTTCACAAGAATGGGATGGGAATGATTTCCAGGAAAGTGTTTCTCGATGTCACAGAGGAGTTTCACTCTCTGCATGAGACATATCATCACCTAATGTCTTCGTCTTTTTTTGTTTAAAGATTTATTTTTGGGGCTTTTGTGCCTTTATTTGATAGAACAGTGGACAGAGTAGGAAATCAGGAGAGAGATATCAGGGGATGACGTGCAGGAAAGGAGCCACAGGTCAGGCTTGAACCTGGGCCACAAGCCTGGACGACTACTTCCTCGGTCACCTCGGGCACCTAGCACCCCTTTATTTTTTATTTTATTAGATATTTGATCAAAATTGTGTCATTGCCAAAAACCTTTTTTTGAGATAACAGTGAATATTTGCATCTTGCAGCAGGAAACACCTACAGCCTATCAGACACTGGAACATCAAGTACAGGTAAAAATCTGTGTGGTTTAACTCACAGGCTTTTTAAATTCCAGGTATCAATGTAGGACCAGTGGTGGCCGGAGTTATCGGAGCCAGAAGACCTCAGTATGACATCTGGGGAAACACGGTGAACGTAGCCAGCAGGATGGACAGCACAGGAGTTCAGGGAAAGATACAGGTACAGTACTGAAGTCGAGTCAAAGAGAACAGAACAAACCCTGCTCAGAGGGGCTTTAGATCCTAAATCATGCAGCAACATCAGTCCTTAGGGTATGAACCACTCATGGAATATGGATTAAAATAACAACAACACACAAACAGAAATACTAAGTCCATAATTTGTGCATTTCATGACTTCATGAGGCAATTAATAAAAGTGATTTTAGAGCATCAGCCCTTCTAATCCATTTCCCTTCCTTTTACATTTGCTCTCCAGGTGACAGAAGATGTTCATCGCATCATCACAGACCACTACAATTTGTTTGCCGCGGTCAGGTCAGCGTTAAAGGCAAGGGTCAGATGCTCACATACTTCCTGGAGGGGCGTAAACAAGGCAACCGGGCAGTTAAGAGCCCGCAGCAGCAGCAGCAGCAGTCCGGCAGCACAGAGCGGCGGTCAAGCGCGTTTAACCACGGCAGCGTGTGCACCAGACTGAGCCCTGGACCCACTGTCACCACCTACGCCTCCATCAGGACCCCAAGTCCGAGCACAACAAAACCCACCACCTCCACCAGCACCTCCAGGTACCTGCCCTCTGTCCCCACAGCCATGGTGTGACGGATGTCTCCAAGGCGACCGTGGGAAACAGAAATGAGAGTGGATGCAGGAAACAGGAAGCAGTGGAAAGTTAGCTTTAACAGCGAGAGTTTATTGAAAGAGGAAGTGGAGCCACTCTTCTTCTTTGGTCTGTGGGACAAGAAGAGGCTGATGCGCTGATGCCACAAAGGGAGACCTGGACTCAGGTCTGACCTGTGTTTACGACTAATTTTGACAGTCTGAGGTGGATCAGACCCTCGCACATGCAGGCTCTGGTTGTCTGTTACTTGCCCTGGATACAGGACGCTTTAGCCGCGCTGCTCTGCAATCAAACAACGTCCGAGTGAATCTCCACGATTTCAGAGCCTGACTCCTAAAATCTGCATCCACAACAATAACAAACTGCATCAAAACGGACCTGATAGTGTAGCACACATCCATAAGATAAAAATCCTTTAACGACTTCAGCTGACCCTTTTCTCTCAGTGTAAAACCAAAACAGTGCTGTTGCCTTAGCGACCACTCCTCACAATGAGTTTCTTGCCATTTTTTTTTGTTGCCTTTTAGATCTTTTATTGATTTATTGGACAGAACTACAGTTTACTACCTGTTTCTAAAGCCAAATGTATAATTGTAAAATGGCAGTTAACGGTACAAAGTTGCCAAATACAACAGGGCATCGCCTTCAATCGTGTCCAGGTTGGCGGTTTACTTTACGCGCTACACTTAAACCCTCAACGCGGCGGCACACGAGCTGGACTCTTCTTTGATCCCTGAGCCGAGCCACTCAGCGTCTTTTAAGTGCATGATGCCACTACTGCATTTCAGTCACGTTTGCTGTCTGTTGCCCTGTGATGCTTGACTTCCAGATTCTTCCTCGTCTAAAAGTGTAGCAATAAAAAGCGGTTTGTCTCCTTCCTCGGCCTCCTGTTCCCCCCCCCCCCCCCCCACCCCTGCATGCTGTAGCCGGCTGGATCCTCTCTTTGACCTGATAGTGTATGTAGCTAATAGAGTGTACGTAGCTAGACACACCAGTTTGTATCTCTGTGGTGCATGACTTAGAAACTTATTTTCTGTATCGTGCGAGTGATTCCTTCCAAACGGGGATATATTCAAAAAAAAAAGACAAAAACCTTTTTTCCGCGTGTTTGTTTATTAACGAGAACAATTTTCTATTGTTGAAATATTCAGTTTGACTATTTTTATGAACTAAAAAAAAAAAGCTGCTTTTGGTAGAGAGAAGAAAAATCTGCTGTTTACGAGGAGACACCCAAACCTCGGTGTCTGGCTTCCTCATACAAACCCAGATGATTTATTTTATGGTAAAGCATGCTACTCACAGGACGGCTAACCACAGCCATTAACTCTCCTCTAATCTGTCCCAGCATGCACCGCCTGCAAGCCTGTGGCCTTGAACATGCATGCTTTGAAGAAGCTAACACAGGCCGAGCAGCTGTTTTCATGTAGTCCTCATGCATGCGCTAAAACAAAAAAGGTAGCGGTCCTCTTGAATGTAAAGGTGCTCTTTTGACCCGTGTCTTCTTCATGAGTTTTTGAGTGTGTGAACATCTCGAGGACATTTCTTTCAGGACGGTTGCGACACCAGGTGCGGGGTTGGGGGGGGGGGGGAAGGGTTGCTCCTCCTCTATTTCTCCCCCTTCCTGCAGGTAGCTGGTTTTTCAAATGTGCCAACCTATTTTCATAAACATATCAAAGTCGTTCTTGTTGAGCTGTAGCACAACTGAATGTGAGGCTACGGTTGTTGTCATTTCTTTTCTTTATACGTTGTTGAATGCCTGTGTGGGTTTTTTTTTCTTTTTTTTTCTGGGATATGTTCCTGAACAGTTTTTGTAACTCAAGATAACAGCGATAGTGTTGTATTTTTTTGGAGCGCCTATAACCTGACAGAAATGACGTCGTTCTTCTCGTCACATTTAAACTAGATCTTTACAGTAGCTTGAACGCTAACGCTGAGTCTCGAAGAGATTAAAAATGAGGATTTTTATACCCTTGCTTTAAAACCGTTGAAGGAGAGTTGATGGAAAGGATTGACGTCAAATATTTTTCCTGTAAATTGGATATTTTCATACTGTATGATACGGGTTTCAATTGTTATATGTAGGTATTACTAGCTATTATTGTACATTGTAGAGTCTTTTTTCAAAGATATATTACAGACGATCACAGATTTGTCTCGTTTTTTTGGTTGCAGATGTATTTACTGAGATGTTTTCTGTGAATGTACATTTTGTTAAAGATGATATTTTATACTAAGTGTTTGCACTGCGATGATATCGACGTATTAAGGTTCTCAAAATAAAACCAGAGGGGATCCGTCTCCTGAAGTAAGACAGCTCTTCCTGTTCTCCATTTAGATAACACACACACACAGTACACACACACACAAACACACACACACTCACTGTGTATACACACACACGCTGTACATGCACTGTACACACACACACACACACACACTGTACACACACTGTACACACACACACTGTACACACACTGTACACACACACACATACTCACTGTACACACACTGTACACACACTGTACACACACACACTGTACACACACACACTGTACACACACTGTACACACACTGTACACTCACTGTACACACACACACACACACACACACACACACTGTACACACACTGTACACACACACACATACTCACTGTACACACACTGTACACACACTGTACACACACACACTGTACACACACACACACTGTACACACACTGTAGACACACACTCACTGTACACACACACACACACACACACACACACACACACTGTACACACACTGTACACACACTGCACACTCACTGTACACACACACACACACACACACACACACACACTGTACACACACACACTGTACGTACATACACACACACACACACACACACACACACTGTACACACTCACACTCACTGTACACTCTGTACACACACACACTGTACACACACACACTGTACGTACACACACACACAAACACACACACACACACACACACACACACACACACACACACACTGTACTCACACTCACTGTACACACACTGTACTCACACTCACTGTACACACACTGTACACACACAGTACACACACTGTACTCACACTCACTGTACACACACTGTACACACACACACTGTACACACACACACTGTACACACACTCACTGTACACACACTGTACACACACTCACTGTACTCACACTCACTGTACTCACACTCACTGTACACACACTGTACACACACTGTACACACACACACACACACACACTGTACACACACTGTACACACACATATGGAGGGGCCATCACACTCAGTTATGAGTTATGTAACAGCAGAAAAACAGTCAGACTGATGTAAGAATCGGGGTCAGCCCGATTGTACGGTGTTTTTCAGAAGGAGCCTCACGCTGGTGTTATGAACATGATAACGTCTGCAACCAGAAAAACATCCCAGCAGGGTGTTTACATGCAGAGAGCAGATACTGTATGACCACATGTGGATAACAAATAACACATTTTTTGTTATTCGGTGTTCTTAAAGTTTGTAAAGGGACGAGGAAAACAAAAACCTTGAACATGAGAGAAGGGCTGAAAGTTACATTTCTTTATCATCAACCTTCAAGCACTCTTTATGATCCAAATCAAAACCTCTTAGGTGTTAGTACCTTTGACTTTTTTACAACGTGTCACAAAAGAAACATAAAAAAGAAGGAAAATGTGTCAAACCGAGGCAGAAACACAAGTTTATAAAGTTTATGTAAAGTGTTATGACCCGGCTCAGGAGGTCACAACAACAAGGGGAGGCAACATCAAGTTTGAGTTTCAATAATGCTTCTTTTCAACAGATCAGACCAAATGAGTCAAACTCTTTATTAATTCAACTTAGGACGAATTAAATAAGTAAGTAAGTAAGTAAGTAAACGTAAGTAGTAACTGTAGTAAAAGGTAACTAACATTCTCAAACCAAAATGCAGTACACCTGTGGAGAGGGTCAGAGCAGAGAGAGAGAGAGAGAGAGAGAGAGTGTGTGTGTGTGTGTGTGTGTGTGTGTGTGTGTGTGTGTGTGTGTGTGTGTGTGTGTGTGTGTGTGTGTGTGTGTGTGTGTGTGTGTGTGTTAGACTGCAGGAGCTTGAGCACACAGGGCCGTTACTCTGATTAGGGAGCTGCAATGAGACCACAGGTTAGAGACACACCTCCAGGACCATCACAATGACAACAACGCAAAGGAAACATTACCTGATGACACCACTTGGGTGTCATCAAGGGAGGTCTCCAAGGCCTCATCCACACGCAGGCGGGTATTTTTGAAAAAGTAACTGACTAAAAGGAGTCGACACATGAAGTAAGTCAACAGTCCCTTTTTAATGTATTTGTTTTTAAGGTAGGGGCAAAAAACAGCTGTGCAAATAGTGTCATTACCTGTAGCTGCTACGTTTAGGTTAAGTAAGTCTTCATCTTGTTCAGGTCTGCTCACTGAACCCGTCGTTCATGTGATTAAATCCACCTGTGGATATTCTGCCCTGAGAGGTCAAAGGTCAAGATCCAATGTTCTGTTCCTGTTAAAACTAGGTTAACAGACGTCATCAGCTGTCACATCACACACCGCTGTTTTTAAGAGTTATCAAAGCCAGAGAAATCTGTAATAATTTTAGAGTTGTAACAGGAAGTGTCACGATGAGCCGCCACATGACAGACTACTGCTACTGAAATCTGCTGTACTGTTGCTGTTTGTGCTGCTGTGATAAAAACGTCATGTAAATTATACTCTGATACATTAGCTCGTCGGTAAACATATTGTCTTCTTCAGATCGGTTTCGCCCGATCGTCATGACTACTGTCAGCGCAGAGTTCGTTTTCACCAGGGGGGGGGAGTAGCAGAGAGAATCACTCCCATGATTCCCTGTTAGCCTCGACGTCATCTTTTTGTGATTGTTTTGATTGAGAGCCCCCCGGTGGTGGATTTTACATAACCATGACGCTTTGTGCACAACTCCAGTCTTGGATGTCACATTACTTTTAAATTATTAAATATGATTAATCACAATATTAATATTATAATCATGATTAACTATTTAAATTAAGCAATGACCCACTACTGAAAGTTTGAATCGTTTTACAGCCCTAATGATATTATATTATGTTATGATAGATTATTGCACCTAAACGTTTTCATCTTACATTCTTTAACTTCTACATTTAATATTCCACGGCAAATGTCACTGTAATACCATACTGCTCTACGTCATGCTATCTTCTCATATCTCACTTATCTCTTAATGCACCTTCAACTCATCACCTGCCACTCTAACTTGCCATTCACTGCACAGAACAGCTTACTGTAACGTTCTGTGTAGTTTCTGTTTTTATTTTTCTTATCTATCTGTCTCAATTTGTTTTGTTCTTACCTCCTTGTTGACAAGTTTTTGTGTCAGTGCAATGCCCGATTTTCACCTCTGGGGATCAATAAAGTATTATCTTATCTTACAGCCACAAACACACACACACACACACACACACACACACACACACACACACACACACACACACACTAACAGGCCTATCCAAACACTCGCATAAGGACAACACAAAAGAGTACAAAAAAAACAACAATGAAAACAATAACATTATTGTAGTAGCACTTCATATTGTAAGAAAGGCCAGAGTACTTCCCAGGTATGGACTTTAAAAAGAACGGATTAAATAGACACACAGGTGTGTTTGTTTTTATGTCCAAAGAGCAGCAGACACCTACAGTGTTGCTGGTGTAGGTACCAGATGTGCTCGGGTGGTCAGATCTGCTCAGGGTCCTTCGCCTGCGTTTGCATGATGATGTAGCGCGTTGTGATTGGCTGTCAGAGAGTCGGAGAGAAAGAGATCAATATCTCCTCATGAAA